TTTCATGTCTTCAGACAGTTCTTCAGTTCATCCAAATGACAAGTGATTTTGCCTGTAGGGGAAATCGGCGCATATTTTATTGAGAGGCGAGACAGTTCTTGCCGGAAGTTTCCGGCAAGTGAATGGACTTTGTGTTCAGGGCCACTTTACAGAAAATGACTAAGGCTTTAAAGATGGCTCATTACTGAGGCCCATGGGGTGCCTACTTCCCAAAATTCTCTACCAGACCTCTCAGTCCTGGTTTTACACACTCTCTTGTCAGACCATACCACCTGTCAGTGTCTCAAGTTAAACTCGATTTTTTTTATTGTAACATTAAATGTCAAGATAAAAGTGTGGCTATTTTATCAATAGACAGTCATGCTCTGTTGTTTCCGTTTGAACCTTTTATAAGAGCCCATCCATCAGTGTGCTTCCATCTGTCTGTGATCATATTTTGGCTGCAATCCTCGGCCCCCCCCCCCCCGCCGAACAACAGTCTCGGTGTGGTTGTCGTAGAGGAGCTGGTGTTGATGAACTTGCTGCACCTTGCCAAGTGCCTCCCGAAGTGTTTTTCTCGCCACGGACAGACCTGCCTGAAAGTGAAGGGATTGTCCTTGAAATGTTCTCCCCAGCTCCTTGCCGGCCCCCCCCTCCCTCCACGGCTGTTAAGTTTGCACACTGCTTTTCAGTCATTACCAATACCAAAGAATTCCCAAATAGATACCACTGTAAAAATAAAATAGATGAGTATAAAAATCCCCTGGAACTCTGACCTATTTACCTTTGAAACTGCGCACAGTGTATTCATCAGGATACCCTCAATCTTCTTGGTCGTTTCATTGGCCTTATTTGCAAATTATTGAGATGTTATCATGTTCCTTCTAGCAGAGGAGGATTCATTCTGGCCACTTACTCATGTAAAAGTTTGTAACTAATATTTCTCTATATATATAATCTAAGAGGATCATTTTTAACCACAATTCTTGGCTGTGTTATCACTGCTAAGTAGTTATTATTAGTTGAATTCAAGATCCCAACACTATTATTGTATTGCTACACAAAACATATAAACTACAAGCCATGTTAAAGCATAAAGAATCATTTTTTTTCCTGACATGTCGTTTTTGTTTCTGCTCTGTTTGCGTATTAACGAGACACACACACACCAAATTTTAATATTAATTTTCTTTAATAAATCATTTTAAGATTGTGTTAATGAAGTGTTAAATTTTAATGACCTAATCTCATTTGAATTCAAGTGGCTCTGTGGGTTCATCCCACCTCTCAGAATTTCAATGAACGCACAATAAAAGGACTTCTTCTTTTGTGATAGTCGTAACCTGCTCGATTCTGCCATTCACTAAGAGCCCCATTTTGACCAATGGATCACATGAATAATAATGATTAGTAATTTGTCTTCAAAAGACTTGCATATAGACGCTTTATTTAAGCGTGATTGTGGAGAAGCGTTGAGATGGTATTATTTTGTGTGCGCGCGTTTCTAATTAGGTACATGTAGAGTGAGGTTAATGCGTCCCTTTGCTGACGAGGCAGCCTCTTGACTTTTATTGAGCCTCTCCCTCATTAATCAGACTTTGAGAGTGAGACCTGCAAATCAGGCCTATTTGGAAAAAGTACAGAGTCCAGAGTTTGTATTTAGTCTTCAAGAAGTCCCCTAATGAGAAACTGCACATGTTAATTGATGTAGAAAACATTAGGCGATCGGACCTGTTGCTTATTGTAATGCTTAAAGTGAATAAAATCAAAATTGTTGTGGTGTACCCCACAACAATATCAGTAAAGTCACGTTGACCCCGGATTAATAATATTGTGCATAGAAGATGGAGGAACTCTGTGTGCCGGACCTGAAATCAACTAATGAAACAATTGACCTTTGAATTATTTTAGCTACACTTTTTAGGACTGATTGTAGTCTTTAACGTATTTTTCTAGCAAAGACAGTTTTTTTTCCCAAATGATGATTATTTCTAAACACTGAAAAAATGAGTTTTACTTGTGGAGTTCCTCAAGAATCTATATTGGGACCAGTACTTTTCAATCTACATTCCATCTCCTCCTATATATATATATATATATATATATATATTTGTTTGTTGCTTACCTTGTATATATATAATATATATATACAATATATATACAAGGTAGGCAACAAACAAACCAAGAAAAAAAGGTCTTTGAGTGGTTTGTGATATTGTTTCCAAACCGTACCCTACTTTGTGTAATTGACCAAAGACATATCAACATGAGTGGCACGGTGGCGTGGTGGTTAGCACTGTCGCCTCACAGCAAGAAGGTCCTGGGTTCGATTCCGCCCAGTGGCCTTTCTTTGTGGAGTCTGCATGTTCTCCCCGTGTCTGCGTGGGTTCTCTCCGGGTTCTCCTGCTTCCTCCCACAGTCCAAAGACATGCTCTGGGGATCAGGTTAATTGGAGACTGTTGTGTGAATGGTTGTGTGTCTCTGTGTTGCCCTGCGATTGGCTGGCGACCAATCCAGGATGTACCCTGTCTATCGCCCGAAGTTGGCTGGGATGGACTCCAGCCCCCCCCGCGACCCTGTGTGCAGGATAAACGGTCTGGATGGATATCAACATGATTTTTCATTCTTCTTCATTGCTTTTTTCTATTTAGAACCAGTGGGTTGGATTTCACTAAAAACGAATGTATGAACCAGTGTTCTGGAATTAAATGTGTCCACCAAACTAGCAGACTCCCATTCACTTCTGCGTAATTACAATAAGTGTTGCACTGTCTCTGAATAGCATCCACCATCAGCCGAAGAACAGGACTGCACTTGACAAAGCATCGACAACTGTGGAAAATGTAGCCCTCTCCATTCATACATCCTAGTTCTTATTATTCACAAGCTATCTCACTGAGCTTGCCTTTGTGCTGGTGTAATTACATAATCTGTGAACTTCTCGGGAGAATTACTTTGTGTGCGCCAAGCAGGAAGCATTGCTTTGACTCAAGCTCCCAAAGGGGAATTGAGGGTAGCTATACTTTTACTGTTTAAATGTGGTAATGGCCATTGTCAAAAGGGTTTTTACATTGCAACTTGTTTTTCTGTCAAAGTTGCAGTTTTATTTAGTTTTAATAAGTGTTTTTGAAGACACAATTACAGTATGCTCAATTTTGAGTACGACGTTATTGCCCCTTTATATCCTTGCTTGAAAGCCTTTTATGCATGGTGGGATTGGAGAATGATCCAGCCTGCATAAGAGGGTGGGTTGTGCACCACTGTATTTTGTTTTGTTTGCTGTTTATAGTGGGCCTGGGCAACACTTAACTAGAATGGAGGCCCATCAAGGCACGCCGATAAGAACCTAGGGATCCACTCTAGTCCATTACTGCAAAGGGCCAAGTTCAACTCACTGGGCCTTTTATGAAGTACAGCGCCAGAGTAAACAAATTAATTGTACGTCCATGGGGCCCAAACAAAACCACGGGGGCCCGGGGCAGTCATATATCAGGCAGAGCGATAGCGTCTGTCAGCACCAGGAAATAGAAAGGTCCCACTAATAAAGATAAGCAACCACATGGGATTCATAAGCTATCGGCACAATTATTCGGTCTTTCAGCTGCATGTTTGTGTCCGTTATGGCTTTTTACACCTTGACAATTGTGGCCAGAGCAAGGTTATGTTTTGAAGTTCCAAATTATTGCTGTGGGGTGAAACAGTGGAATAATAACAAAGATGTTGCCTTACAGGAAAAAGCCGTGCATCTACAAATGCATTTAAACTAGCTATTTCAAATTTGTCTGGGGGCTAAATAAATATCCCATTGAACGGTTAAAAAGCAACCCTGCGTACTTACAGAAATATGTATTGCATCAAAGTATACAACAGGGTAGATCTTTTTAGCTCCTAGATAACGATTACATGGTTTTGTTTGCTTTGATGTTCACATACACACACATTTGCAGTGATTCTGTGTTTAAGTGTGTGACTGTGTATGCGTTTATTTTGTGATTTGACCTTGAAATATTCGGTGATATAACATCCTGTATGTGTGTCTACGTTAGCTGATGAATAGGTCGGGCTGTGGTCCAGTAATCAATCAAATGTATAGTAATCTGTGTGTGTGCATTCGAAAGAGAAAAAAAAAACTCATCTGTAATAAATAGAAGCACGTTCGTTCAACTTGAAACTAAGTTGTTCTCCTGAAAAGCAGAGTTATTTGCCCAAAGCATTTTTGGAATACAAGTTATTTGATTTGATCTAACTTTAATTGTTGGACAATATTTCTTTGTGTACAAACGCATTCTAAAATACAGTTTAAAGTCAGTACTTATAGCTTATGTCTGCCATATTGCTATTAGATAAATATCATATAAATTGGGAAATAAATTAATTACTCAATTAATTAAAACAGCAAAGTTCTTTTATTTCTACTGAAGGTTAAATCTGAACGATTTTTTATATTGATCAAATTTGTAACGTTAACTCAGCTGTCTTAGACCAGCATAGTGTCCAAATGCATTATTGAGCTCATAACATTTGAATGAGATACGTTTAAAAAATGTTCATTTACAGATGTATTTGATTTATGAGGCAGAATGGTTTAATTTGCTCTCCCAAGACACGTTCAGTGTTTACCCTCTTCTTGACATTCAGATTGATAAAGTGTGTAATGAAGATGAATAATCAGTTACCTGTGCATTTATCGGTGCTTTCCAATGTAATCAACATGAATGAACACCAATCGGTATTTAGATCAATGGAAAAAAAACATTCCTAGCCAAGTGTGCAACCCCCCCCCCCCTGATGTTTTGCCATTAATTGTAATCTGGAATTCTGGGATGGTGATTTGCATTAATCTGCTCGTCAGATTCTTTCTGTCCTGTTAATACCTGTTCTGTTTAGTGTTGCTGGTCTATAATTATGTGGTTGCACAGTCAGTTGGTGTTGTCTGTATTTGCAGTTACACACGTCTCTGCAGGAGTAGAGTTGCGCTTCTGTAACCGGGCGGCCGTCGCTCTCTCTTCTCTCCTCGTCAGATCTTCCGGAGGTGTTGGCTGGTGTTCAAGAAGGCCTCCAGCAAAGGTCCACGACGGTTAGAGAAGTACCCCGACGAGAAGGCAGCCTACTTCAGGAACTTCCACAAGGTACAGATGAACACATACACACACACACACACACACACACACACACACACACACACACACACACACACACACACACACGTGACACTCATTAAAGACTACATTGTGGTTGTCATTGAATAAGATAAATGATTGAACTTTTTTCCCCAATAGTGCACAGCATAAGTCACATCAGTATTAGAAATAAAGTGATCAAGTGTCACATTAGTTATTTGATCAGAATAAAATATTCATCTGCAACTTTTTCTTGTGAAATGTTGTGGCTGCAACTAGCATCAGCATAAATTTATTTTTTCTAATAAGCGGTGAGGTCTAAGGGTTCTGATGTCAGTCGGCCCTGCGGCCAATCAAGATTAGGCAGCATGTAGTGAGCAGAATTAGATTCATGACTAATTAGAATTAGTCATGAATATGTCTAATTTCATTACTTTTTCCTAATGATTTTGTAACAATCTGACCTTCTTACTAATGGCACTATCAAGCCGGATATAGTGCCACTAGCATATAACAAATAAATGGCATTCAAGGTTTTGTTTTGTTGAATTCCAAAAATATACACTAAACCGAGTCTCACTCCCCATGGATCTGCTACTTGTGGAACATGTGGACAACAGGTGGAATGAATTATCTTATCTAGCTGATAAAATCTGTCACCGCTGGCTGCCCAAATAAGATTATGAGGGATTCTCTTTAAACTTCAGGAATTGTGCTCCGAAATTCATCTTATAGAAAGTGATGCAGTAAAAAGGCAGCACATTGTATAAGATTATGTCACTAAAGGTCTTACATTGCTTCTTTTTTTCTTTTATTACTCAGCACTGTATCACACGTTCCTCCCAACTCGGTTTTCATCCATTGGCCACAGATAATAGAGTTAAAGATCCATTAAGACAAATTTTGCAACTTTATCATCTCCTCTGGGGGTCTTTTCCCTCCCTTTTGAAAGTAATAATCCAGTAGATAATACATCTCTCTGTGCCTCTTAAGCCCTTTGAAATTCTCCATTTAGGACTCATTATCTTGGTGATGGGAGATGATATCGCCATGAACAGTCGTATAGTAATTAGAGGAGATAACAGTAGATGATAGGGGACTTTGAATCCACGTTCCCTACATGGCTCTAGTTTCAGCAGCCTGAAGCAATACTATAACCATCTAATCGTGAATTAGGTGGTGGATTTGTCACTGGCGAGCTAGATGGTTTAGATCCACTTTAGTTTCAGCCATGGATGCCGAGTGAAGCGCCTTCCTGCCGACTGCATCATGCCGTCATATTGGGCCGTCCTGTGTGGCTGTAAACCCCCCCCCAACCCGTCCCTCCTCCCAGAGGCATCTCATACAAGGAGCGCCGGTGTGAGCGATGAGCGCACACATGCACCAGTGCACCTGGTAATGCATCGCCACAAAGATCAAGAAAGGTCCCGTCTGAGGGCTTCATTCAACGCCGCAGTGCTCTGGGAGGAAATAGGCTGCACTGGTGGCTGATTTACAGAAGCACCACAAAGGGGATTGGCTTCCTTTTTATTTTTACTTGCTCTCTTCATGTCACCCGTCTCTCTTTAGCTCTCTCTCTCTCTCTGTCTTTTCCCTGTCTTAGAGGCACCGGTCCACACAGTAAAACAATCCCTGAATATTTTTGGCAATATTCTTCTTCTTCTCACATGGAAGCAGATGGTTTTAGTCACACTAGTGCAGTTGGTTGGTCTACCACTCCAGAGGGAGTAATATGATTTTTGTACGGACATGTAGGAGGAATCTTTATCATTCTGAATTCTCCTCCAGCGCCGCCAGCAGGTTTACATTAAGACTTTTAATGAAATCTCTCAACAGCTATTGGACGGTTGGCATGGCATTTGGTAGAGGCTGAAATTCTTTCACTGTCTGCACTATTGAAGCAATATTTAAAAAGAAAAATGCCAGAACGCACAAAAATAAATTTGTGGTATACAAAACAAATGTAAAATTAGAATGAATCAGTGAGAATATGTTGTGATCCCTTGACTTTCTTCTAGCATCATCCGGTCACAATGGGTTAGTTTGTGTGCTACACTTTGTGTTTTGTGCCAAATCGTGTTAGTATTGTCATTGTAAGCATGTTGTTGCTTTCATTAGCATATGACTTTAAGCCCCTAATGACATCAATCCAATTGACTCATTTAAATCAATGGTCCATTGAGCCCTGTCAATGTCATCGCCCACCTTAGGATGACGTCAGGAATGCATTTTTATACCGGCGTCCCTACACTGCCCGTCGCCATATTCAATGCGCACATTCAAAGGATGGGGACAACTGGGGTGCTTACTGTAGCACCTGAGTCTTGAATGCAGCCTTCTTGATGTATGCTATTTTCTATTTACATCTTTGAATAAACAAGAAGAAGAGATGCAGAAAATGGGAAGAGGAAGAGAAGAGATCGTATGAGTAATAAGTAATAAGTCTCATCACAAATAATTCCCTTTGCTCGGACTGTACCGCCTCGGGCTGGGAATGCACCCAAATCTCTCCCATAGACACATGGCTTCACAAACACACAAACACACACATAAAAAAGCGACAAAAAATGCACAGTTACACAAACAGAGAGAGATGAATGGCTAGTGGAATTCACTGCTTAGAGATTCTCACACTTGATGCTAGCTTTGTAGTCGTTATATGAACGAATGGTCTGCCCGAGGACAAATGCCTGTATCCTCACAGGGGACCAAAAAGAATCTCTGCTCCTCAAATATTTAGATACCATCTTGGAGAAAGAATATACAAATGGAAAACGTTCAATACCCATAGTCTATTTTTATTTTTAATCTAATGCTTTGAAAAAAGTCTCTCGATGCAAGTTGAATGCGGGTTACATAGTGTTATCAAACAGAGGAATCTGTAGTCCACACATGTCGCGCGCGTTATTATGTCTGGGCTTTTAACCTTTAACAGTCGAGCTTTACTATACGGGCAGAGAGCCCAGCTAATTCATTTCCAACAGTCTGGCAAAAAGCCCACAGTTACCACACAATGGACTACAATAATGTAATGGGCCTTATCTCCCAGGCAGAGTGAACACAGACGAGACCGTTGAGCAAAATGGCCTGTAAATGCGGGTGATATTCAATTAAACGTAATCTTCTCTTCCCCCCCCCATCGGCAATCAATATCCTGGTAAAGTGATTTAGATGCTTTTGATCGCACCCTTCCAGCCCCCCCCACTCTATTGACTGGCAAATCACTTCCAAGGATGCACTTGCACAGTGTAAACACAGGAATGTACTCACATTCATTCATAGAGTGCTTTTAGTAATGCTTTTCACTGTTAAACCGCGACAGCAATCAGTGTGCTGGGGGCTTTTTTTTTTTAATTAGTGGGAAAAAACTGCTATTGTTTATATATTCTTGAAAATCTCACACATTTCAGTTTTACTCTGCCATCCTTCATACGCTAAGCCTCCATACTATTGCACTTTCAGCAGAGTCGATGCAAGATGGCAATTAAGCCTTTGCTGGCGCGGCTTCTGCCGCTCCTGGCTGTTTTCAAAGTAATGTGCCGCCGTCGCTCTCTCTCTCCCCCACCCCCCCTCCCCCTCTCCCCTTTAGAACACCGAGCTCCACAACGTAAAGAACATTACCCGGATGCCGCGGGAGACAAAAAAGCACGCCGTGGCGATCATCTTCTGTGACGACACATCCAAGACGTTTGCCTGTGAATCGGGTGAGTGGATTCGCATTGCAAAATTGGACTTTTTGGACTCGCTTGCATGCAAAGCCAGTGTGTGCAGGGAGATGCTGAACGACGAGGGGTGCTTTGCAAAAGTATATCAAGAAGCGGAGGAATAATCCACTTCAGCGAGAGAGAGAGAGAGAGAGAGCGAGAGAGAGAGAGAGAGAGAGAGAGAGAGAGAGAGAGGTGAAAGAGGTGAAAGAGGTTTTGGAGAACTGGAGTTTAGCCAAGTGATGCTCATTTGCCGCTGTATTAAGAAGAGGGAGGTTCTGTTCTGAAGTATTGATTTTCATACCGCGGCGATGAAAAACTGTATCGGGCATTGTTTGCCGCGTGTTGCAACCCAATTACGGAACATAACAATAGAGATTGCCTCCAATACGTGATCAGGGAGCCAAAGAGGCACATCATCTGCACATAGGAGGTTGGTTGAGTGCAGAAAGGGCAGTGAGGGGCTGGATAAGGCGCATGCACCTTAATGTGCTAGGGCCACGCAGACGTCCTGCATGTGTGTGTGTGTGTGTGTGTGTGTGTGTGTGTGTGTAGCAGTAAAGAGCTTTTCTTTCCCTTTGTCTCTTTTCCTTCACTCCCATGGCTCATTTCCATGACCCCCCTCCACCCTCCATCTCCCACAACCATATGGATGTCTCTGTCACCCCGTGTCCATGACCTATCATAGTCCTTCACTTTCTGGAAGCCCCTCTCGCTCCGCGGTAGCTCGTTTGGGCGAACGGCATTGGCCGAAATGCATGATCTTAATGATTTTTAAATTGTAGTTTATTATAAGCCGGCGATGTCAATGGGGCTTTGGATTGGAAAGTTGGCAAGCAGATCTCAAGTGTTGACTGTGTTGACTATAAAACACTCTTGACAGAAAAAGATGATCTTCAGATGTATGTATGAATGGCCCTTGTGTGCCGTCAATGCAACACTGAAGAAAAGATGGTAGCATATCTTTCGTCTTTTGACAGATCTGTGGTTTGGGTGCTTCTGTCAAATATGCCCCATAAAGAGATAAGAGGGAGCGATCAGCAGATTGAAGAACGCTTCAACTCCGGTCCAAATAAATTGTGCACACAATATTATCTACCTTTTAGGAAAAAAGGCCGCCTCCCGATTTGTTTTTATCACATATTCAACATCCTGTTTCTTTTTTTATTTATTTTTCTAAACAAAAGAAACGTCTCTCTGTCTCATGCGGCACACACTAGGCAGGCTGCTTCTGTGTGGATCAAGTGCTTGTTTCGCCAATTTTCCACTCCTGAATCTGAGGATGCAAGACCAAGGAGCTAAAGTGCAGAACTGTTGCCTTTGAGAGAGTGTGTGTGTGTGTGTGTGTGTGTGTGTGTACTTCTGTTTTTTGTTATGCGTGAATGAGGTGCTCCAGGCAGCAGGAACCTTTCCTTCACCCTGCAAAGTTGTGTAGATCGTCCCACTGGACACCACAGTTGATCTGACAAACAAGATTTGAGTGAATAAACCCCCCCCACACACACACACACATGCCACACAAGCATGCATTGACACAAAAACAGGGTGATGTTCCCGTGCTTCCAGAGCTCTCTCTGCACACATCGCTGGCCATGGTCACATTTCCCAGAATTCCACGGGGGCCCTGAAGTTAAGGAGCTTCAGAAAAAATGACCAACTCCGGCATTTGCCTCATTTCACACCTCGGTAACTCTCACCAAAAGCTCAGACAAGACAATTAGAATTCCTCTCCAACGTACGCATTGTTTTTCTTCTGACTTAACTGGAAGATAAATTGGTAGTCACAAACGACAGATTGCCACGCAATCTGAATCCGGATTTGATACATGAAATCATTTGTCTCCACTTAGCCTCCAATTAAAATATTTGGTCTTGCAATGAATGAACCCCCTCCTTTAGGTGCCAGCTGTCACGAGGCGTAGATATAACTAGCTACACAGAGCTCTGTTCACAAAACCAACACAGCTGCTTTAGAAAGAGAGTAAAATCAACACGATTCTTCACATTTATTGAAACACACAGTGAAATGAACACTCTCCCTCCACGTTGCTTCATTTGCTTTCTTGCCGAGGGTTTGATGAGAAGATTGATGGTGCTCTCGTGTTTTCTTGCTGGTGCCTTCTGCCAACAGCCCTGACCCCTTGTAAAAACCTCAATGGTTTTAGCATTGATTAAACAAAACAAGAAACAGAGTGCTAATTAATGAGCTGCTGCTTCTAAGCAGATTTGTTGACCACCGCATGAAGCCAGGCTGCGTTTCACCCAGTATACAGACCTGCTTCTAGCTTTCTATTTAATGTACGCGCATTAGTTCTGAGTTCTTACTTTCCACAAGTAAGCATATTCCTCTGCTTATTCCCTTAACCAGCTTAATTAAAAACAGAACAATTCGGACTGCTGTGGCCGTATGGTTCCAGCAGAAGTATTTCTGTGGTGTGCAGCATGGGAAGCGGGTATTGGCAAAGGAGGGAGGAAAAAAAACTACGCTTTTATCTTGTCGCTGTTACTGAATCCACCTCCTCTTTTAATCTCCATCGAATTAATCAGATTGATTTCTTTCCCTCCTGGTTACTTTTAGCTGCACTCCCGTTCTGTACATCCAGCATTTTATTCTGAAATTCTTCTTGGGTGATTTATGTACAATGCGTAAACAACACACTAAAAAGGCAGCATAGTTTTGGTGGTATGATTTGTGTGTGTGTTTCTTTTTTTGAATCTCTGCAATGTTGGATATGTATGAGGTTTGTGTGTGTGTGTGTGTGTGTGTGTGTGTGTGTGTGTGTGTGTGTGTGTGTGTGTTTAATGCCGTGCTGCTTTGTGCAGAGCTGGATGCAGAGGAATGGTGTAAGCTGCTATGCGTGGAGTGCCTGGGCAGCCGTCTCAACGACATCAGCCTGGGAGAGCCAGACCTGTTAGCAGCGGGGGTGCAGCGGGAGCAGAACGGTGAGTGCCCAATTAGTCCCCGTTACCACCGACGGCCATCCAGGGTCAATCTTACATACACACACACAGCTCGCCAACCGGCAGTCGGGTTGCAGTCCAGGCCAGTATGTGTTTAAAGCAACCGAGTCCTCAGAGGGTTAGAGGAGCAGAACAGTCACCAGCCAATTAGGCCTGGCTAATAAGGTCCGCTTTGTCAATATCTTAGTCAAAGTTCCCTGTAACAATCTTTAGTTACATTTCCACATTACACACACACACACACACACACACACAAGGATGTTTGGGTATGTGCATGTGTGTGTGTGTGTGTGTGTTTGTGCTCGCCAGAGCACAGGTTGCAGGCTGTGGTCGGGGCTGTGTTCCAACCCTAATGAGAAGTGCTGTGCATCACCGGCTTCCCTCATAATGAAGCTTGTCACAGAGATGGATGAGATTATGGCTCCTAAAGCCACGTGAAATAAATTGTGCTTCCCACATATCCCACTCACAGGAAATGGAAATGGAAAAAAAGAGGAGACAACAGGGCGCTGCTTTCACAGTGGCGCTCATTGTCTGTGTCATTTGTAAACTCGCAGAGGAAATTGAAAAGGCAACAGGCAAAGAGGAGCAGTTTAAAGTTGGAAAAGGGCAAGTAATTGAAAGTAATCTCCCATTATTTCAGCCCATTTCATTTCACTGTAAGGGAAATTGTGTTCAACATAACTTGCCCTCATTTTGTAAGATATCATTTTGCGGTTCAGTCAAAAACTGAACTGCAACGACACAGTTCCACTCGCTTCCGGTGCTCATACGATATTTGCAGCGGGTTACGGAGACAAATTGAGTCTGACTGCCGTCCGTATGAGTGAATGAAACAAGAGGCTCGGGCCTGCACCCGTGTTTCAATTAGTAGCCCTCCCCAAACAGCACGGGCCGATAATTAGATAAGATTTTCGCCATCCCTAAAAATACGCCACACTATGACATCGCCATTTTCTATCCGCTGCAGACACGTACTTATTGTGGATCATTAAGTGTAATTAGTGAGAACTAATTTAGATTATGGAGAACTCGCTCCCTCTCTTCCGCTCTCTGTCGGCCCCTCGGAGAGTTAGTTAATGTGAGTGGACAGATATGGTTTCTTGATCCCGGTCCAGCTCACTCGACGGCCAGCTTCACCCCCTTTGGTCAGTGTCAATGTAGTGTATTGGTGTTAAATATATAAGATACTGATAATTGCATGGAAAAAATGAATATACATGAAATGTATATACAGTTGCTGATTATTGACACGCTATGTGTTTCATGCTCCCTTCCTCAGAAAACAAAACAAACAGCTCCATATCTAACAGCAGGGCGTGAAGGATAATCCATCTCTTAGTAAGAATTGATCCTTCATCTCATCAGGCTCTCTGAAACCCCTTGAAGTATGTACAGCTACATCCCATATTATTTCATTTAGGTGGTGCGTCTTTTACTTTACTTGTGGTCGCTATTGTGGCTTCAATAAATAGCATTAGATAAATTAAAGTTACAATAATGAATCCTTAAGGAAGAAAAATGACCTGTCGCAGCAGAATCATGTAATTGCCCGCTCGAGTGAGCGAATCTCGCTAAAATATCGTGGTTGCAGTGACTCAACTATTAAAAAAAAACCTTTTCTCACTGCTTTTGGACCGCCTGCTGACAGTGTGCGGGGAAACAGATCTGCTCTCTTTGATTGTGTTGGACAGTGTGTTTGGCCAACAGCTCACTTTTCAGGTATCCGTCTCTCGTTTGCGCCAGAAAAAAAACAAATCCTTGAATGCACGGCGAGGTGAAGCCACACAGCCGCTGCAGACATCCGCAGCAATTAATATCACAGTGTGTGTCCGTTGTGTGGGAAGTGTGAGTGAAAAACGTCTTCGCTGTACAAAAACATGAAGTTCTGTTTCTACAAGCACAAAATAGTTTGCTTTGATGTTTCCTCACCGAGCGCCAACGGAGCTTCTGTCAGGAGACGGAAAGCCTGTTAAAAGAGATACGATGATAAAGTGAAGGCATTTTGGTTGAAAACTGACACAAGACTGTTATGCTGAAGCTAATTTGTGAATCTTTCCAGAACGCTTCAACGTGTACCTCATGCCCACTCCTAACCTGGACATCTACGGGGAGTGCACCATGCAGATCACCCACGAAAACATCTACCTGTGGGACATACACAACGCCCGCCTCAAACTCGTCATGTGGCCTCTCAGCTCCCTGCGCAGATACGGACGAGACTCCACCTGGTTCACTTTTGAGTCCGGAAGGTGTGTGTGTGCGTGCATTAAAAGAGCTCTTTTTTTCTTTCTGTGTGTGTCTGTGTGTGTGTGTGTGTGTGTGTGTGTGTGTGTGTGTGTGGTTGGAATGTTAGCAGTGGGAGGAAAAAATAAATGTCATAAAAACTTCAACAACATTGAAACATCCCGGGATATCAGCGTTTGCCGCAGAGCCCTTCAGGCGCTGAAGTGACAAGTGCCTCTGTGAGTGTGTGTGTCTATGTTTGTGCACTGTATCTACTCATGCATGTGTGTGTGTGTGTGTGTGTGTGTGACTTCAGTGGGGTATTATATCAATGCGCCTCTCTGTAAATGCACACTCAACCATGCATTTTTGGAAATCAGCAATCCAAGAGTGAGCACGATCAAAGCGTGTGCACTTCTCTCTGTCTCTGTGTGTGTGTTCCTGGCGCAGGATGTGTGACACAGGAGAGGGTTTGTTCACGTTCCAGACGCGGGAGGGGGAGATGATCTACCAGCGGGTCCACTCGGCCACGCTGGCCATTGCCCAGCAGCATGAGAGGATGATGGAGGAGATGGAAAAGAGTTCCCAGGTCTGCTTGGTACACTTTGCTTGTTTATCTGATTTACCGGCAGCAGGCTCACAATGCGCCCATTGGTTTTTCATCCGAAACTGTCAAAATTGCAAACGGGGCCAATAATACGCGCGGGTGTATTATTCCTGTTCGTTCCAGGAATAGTTATTTCATGCACGCAAGGGCGCGTGTCACTTCCATTCGCTCGACAACATCCCCCGAACCATTTGTACAAAGCCTGCAAACATAAAGTGTTTTTGTTTAGAAATGTCTCCTGTATTATTTCAAAAAGGTCTGTCTGATTGAGGCTGATCAAAGTACAGTATGTCATCGAGGCTGTTCAAAGAATTATCTTTAGAAAGCAGTGAACACCGGGGTAATAAATCATTTTTTATTTTCACACACAAACGGACACACACACACAAACACATACACACACACGCGGTGTTGCTGCCTTGGACCAGGAGCCCTCTGACACCCCACCGTCTTGGCCTCTGCTCCCTCCTTCCATCACAACACCAGTCCATCCCTTCCTTCCTTCCTTCCTCCTCCTCCTCCTCCTCCCCCCTATCATCTGTATTCTTTATTTATGTCGGCCTGCCTAGTGTTTGATGAGCCTTGACCATATGGCCGTGCTCTTGGACCCCACCATTTGGGAACATTTTCCAAAATGCGGCATTTACCTTCAGCTCTGTAAATCAAATGGGTAGCAAACACAAATTGGACCAGTGACATTTGCAGAACAGGTGAAGCTGAGAAAATGCAGATTTACCCCGGGTTTCTGTAAAATATATTACAAAATCTGTAATAATATGTTCTACGCTGTGAATTAAAAAAAATCAGGGATACAACAACATCACAGTCCCAAATGAATCCTCATCTCGCCCGCCGAACAGCCATTCAAGGCATTCTGCTTCCAATATACCGTAGTCTGAGCGTTCTTTGATTACCGATTACTCCCCCCCCCCCGTTGTGACTGACTGACTGAGATATTCTGTGCGCTTTCTGTCTCTTCCAGATCCACCCGAGAGAAACGCTCACCAAGTCCATCTCCCTGCCACGCAGCGCCTACTGGCAGCACATTACGCGTCAGAACAGCGTGGGAGATCTCTACAGTTACCAAGGTAGAGGCATGCAGTCAGTAATTATCATATGCGCCGTGTTGCTATTTCCTCACCTGCTTGTGTCACTGTTGAGTTGTGGAGCACTTTGGAGGCGGTGGAGGAAAGAAAAGTGGAGAAACAAACGCAGGAATATTCTTCTGGTATTAATTAAATGTGTTTAGCTTGGAATTATTGATCCCTCGCATGATAGACAGTTTAGACTCTTTGCTTCAGTCATATAATATTGTTTTAACCTGAAGCAGAACAGTGTGATCTTCAGTGATAGACAACAGAGAGACACACACACTCATAATCTTAAGATTGCGTGTGTGTCTTTAGGAAGGATAAATAGATGCATTGATGTTGCAGGAGCTCAGCACCCCATGTCCCTGGTGGGCACTTAATTTACACAAGGAAGGGTGTGTCAGTCTGTGTGTGCACACCAGAGGCAGAAAGGTGGTTAGTGAGCTGATGAGATCACTCTGCCCACGGTATTAGTTGATTAGTAGTCTTATCTGAGGATTATGGGCCTTTTTGGCTTTGACTGATAGAGCAAAACAGAGAGGCAGGCGAAGATGAAAGTACCGCTGTCGTCATCATTTTCTTTTGAAAACCCAAGGCTGGATTTTTTTTTTCACTATCATTTAATTGTGGCCTGATAAGCTTTAAAGCAAAAAAAAAGATGTCCTCTGTTCCAAACATCAACATGTTTTTTGCACATTTACACTAAACAAAGAAGCTTCCACCTCAGAGTCGTTATTTATAGGCCCAGTCTCGCCAAACTCTTATTTTTAAACTCTTCCTTTCCAAAACTCCAGTGAGCAGAGGAGCTTCTCTCTCTCCCTCTCTCTCTCTCTCTCTCCCTCATCCATCACCCTGGCATCTCCTCTGGTCCTCCCACTCCTTCTCTGCATCGTTCGTCTCGATTCAGAGCAACCCTCCACCTTCTCGTGCACATTCAGCGCTGCCCCCCCCCCCACACACACACACACACACTCCCTTTCCCCCCATGAATAAATTGGACGCATCAATGTGTTTGAGGACGCAGCGAAAGGTCTCGTCAGAAAACGGGGAAGACAAGGTGATTCTGGGGAGGGGGGGGGGGGGAAGGTGACAGGAGTTTAAATCCTGTTGTGACACGGGATGTTTGGACTGTGAAAAGCATGTCAAGAAAAACTCAAACCCGCGTTGGGCGTCCCTTCCGGGGGGGGGGGGGGGGGGGGGGGGGGGTTTTTTTAAGGGGCAACCCCAAAAAAAAAATTTTAAAAATTTTCCTTTGGAAAAAAATTTCCCCCCCCCCGCAGGCCTTTTTTTTTTTCCCGGGAACAATACCACACCACCAAAGGGGGTTTAAGTTCTTAACAAAACTCTTTGACACGGGGAGAAGAGACCCCGGAAACTATTTTCCCCCCCCCAAAAAAAAATAGAAATAAATAAATCACTCAAGTGTCTTCACACTAATAACAAATGCCGCCTTGATAATAGTGAAAACGTTCGTCTCTGATAATAAGTTTATATGAAGGGGGTTTCAATGAAAATAAACCAATAAACCAGATAAAGCCTGCAGGCACGCGGTTATCATGATGCAAGCACAAACTCTTGGCAAACAGCAATAAGGTCTGCAGGGAACGTAGGGGGGGGGGGTTCTTTAATAATATCTCTCTAAAACCATAATATCTGGCCGGAAAATTAGGTCTGCATAAAGTCGGATGAAGAACAAAGTGCATTAAATCTCCACCTGCCTTAAAGTCTGAAGAAAAGGCGTCGTTACACCCTGATTGGCCGAGAGGGAAACTGCACCCAGCTGCCCTCATTTCTTAATTAGCAACCTGTCCCCCCAAAAAACGGTGATTATAATAAAACTTCAATCAATGCAGGTGAGTTGTGGCTCAGCTTCAATTAGCTCAAATTAATCATAAAAATCATCATCATAAAAATTGCCTTTTACAACCTATTCTCTCACTCCCCCCAAAGCAAAGTTGAGGGGCCTGATATATACATAAATGTTCTGTTGTGCAATTAAATAAAAACTAATATCTTTAAAAAACTCTTTAAAATAATATATTTATGCTATTTGTATGTTGTAATGTTGAATGTTATTTTGTACACTGGTAAACTTAAATACATATGAATAAATAGCCTTAGAAAACCATCTCTACCTGCCAATATAAAAATGACAGACAAGGTTGTTTGACAGGCTTGAAAGAGTTTTGCAAAAATTGTTGAGTGGTTAAGAAAAAGTTTACTGGAGAAAAAAAAAACTCGAGAAATTTGATAACACGACGTTAAACTGAACAAAAAGAACAGCCTCACAGCGACCAACCAGTGAAGAGTATTTTCTTTACTGCCTCATTAGGAACAACAGTTTTCGTCCAGCAACAACAGAACACGCATCTACATCATACAAAATAGTTCAAAGTAGCAGACATGAAAGCGCAAATAACAGACTTTCGCAGAACAAGTAACAGACAACGGAAAAGTAATTGCATCATCCAATCAACTTGCAGTTTTGTTCAGCAAAAGGCCTCCCATTGGTTACTGCCGACATCGCAACATACGTATCGGCACTGATATACGTACCAATGAACACACCATCAATAATAAAAAGTAGTCACCTTTGCTCCTCCACATTTCCTGGGCTCAGCCCCGATTAGACCATCGCTGGATGAGCTGCAGAGCGACATCTCAGACCAAAACAAATCTGTCAACTCAACGTTATTAAATAAACTCAAACATTAGACTGCAATTGATATTGAAGCGGACACAAAAACACTGTTTACAAGGCTCAGGAACTGGCACAAATACACAGTAGATTCTTGTAAAAAAAACAGTAACTTTTGCTTCTTACTCTCTGTCTGAAGACACATATTACGTTACAGTATGTAGTTGGGTAAGTAATGGGTGTATGTAACGGAAATTGGGGTAATGGATACATCAATCTGTTTGCCCTCTCGTATTGACAATATGAGTAACAATCATTTGGTTGGGAATATAAGAAATCTCGCTGCCTTTGCTCCTTGAATGTATCACTGCTCGGGTGATGAATATCTAATCATCACAGTCAATTTGCTGAGTCATGCTCGGCTTGCTTTCAAATACCCTGGAGCGGGTCTGGAGGAATAATTAAAGAACATGGTCCTTTGTCCCTTCGAGGTTTATTCACCTATTTGTTTATTTCTTTGCCGTGATTAATGGGGGGACCTGGCAGCAAGGAACAGTTCACTTTAACTAAAACTTTGTTTTCATATATATTTACATCTGCTTTTCATTCGTTCTGGAAAAAAACACATCCCGCCTTGTTTGCCGTAATTAAAAATGTTTTGTTAAAAAGAATCTGAGGAATATGATGTGGAAACATTAACTCTCGGTCGGCCTTGATGGTGTTGCTACACAGAATAAAGTCCCCCCCCCTAATGTAGATGTTTTAATCTCCACAAACAATGTGCGCAATGAGTCCTTTGGTACCGTTTGGTCCCACCTCTACGATGCTGTTCCCTCTTTTGCATTTCAGGGATCCTGCTGTGCCCTTTTTATAATGCATAGAAATCCTCTCCGAAGTGGTTGAATGTCCAATATTGGAATGGAACAAGGGCTAGAATTTCTTCCTGGACTCATTTCCATGTAATCCATTGCCTTCACTCGCTCTGCATTCCATTGTGCACCACAGTTTAGTGCCCTATCATTACCAATTCTAATGCGATGGAGCGCTTTTCGGAGTTTGATCGGCTGCGAGTGATACGAGGGGATTTAACCGAGAGGGAGCAAGTATCAAAGGCACAGGGACAAGACGATAGGAGAAAAGGATGATAATACTTTCTTATCGGCAACAGGCAACAAGGAAAATAGTAGATACAAAAAAAAAAGTGAATGGCGTGAAAAAAGTTCAACTCTCTCCTGGTCGCTGTTGACGTTTTGTTTAAAAACTAAAAACTGGCTCAATCTCCGGGCTGCAGTGAGCTGTCCTTTCATAGTTTGGGTCGATTTGCCAAACAAAAGGCACAAAGCTCGATGTCAGCGGCATTGCATAATCCAGAGTTTGCGCAGCCTTCTTCCTCTTTCTCTCCGGTTACAGCTGTTACTAACATCTGGGTTATCGCACTGTGAGGAAGGAAGGTGCAGACAGGTGTGTATCTGTGTGTGTGTGTGTGTGTGTGTGTGTCTTTGTACGAGCATTCAAGAATGGATGCTTGTGTGTGTGTCCTTGTCCACCATTGTGTCTGTGTGTGTGGACCCCCCCCCGGGTGTCCAGTCTTCTGCGGCCCAGCAGCTGCCACCTCAGGCCAGATAGGATGACATGACCTTCGGCGCTGATGCAAAGCCACCGACAAATCACTGTCTGCTCCTCGTAGGGACGGAGAGGATGAGGGACGTTGACGCCTTGTCTCTTCTCTATTCATTCTTTTGTTTGGAAAAACAGAGCCGACATTTGCGTCTGCAGCCCCGACGCGTGCCTCTCGTCGGGGGTCCTGCATCGTACGCCAAACCCCCGCTGTTCACGACTGAGGGGGCGATGACATGCACCTCATCCTCTCTGTCCGCACTGGTTCTCTCTGCCTCTTATTTTATTTTAATTTTTTTCAGGCCCAAATTGGGCTTGGTAGGGAGAGGATTGTCTTGGCAAAGATGTGAAAAGGACATGCCTGGTTGCACACCAGTTGTTTCAGCAATCTGTGAGTGGAGACAAAGTGTTTTTTAACCTGCAGGGTTTTTTTTTCTAGAACATGGACTGAGCTCCATTTAAGACCTTAAGCCATGTCTCATTTTTTTCACAATTTCAGGGAGTGGAGGAAAGACTGGAGGACCAAGGTGTGTGCGTGTGTGTGTGTGTGTGTGTGTGTGTGTGGTTACCTGTTATGGCTGCTGCTGCTGCTGCTGTGGTCTCATCCTCACACCCACACCTGCCCCCTCTGTGCTTCCTTTTCCTCTGAGTCGTTGCCTCCTCTGTGCTTTTTTCCTCCTCGTCGTGTCACTTTACGCGTGCATTGCTTTCTATTCACGGACATTTCTGTTAAACTGGTCCACAACAGGCCACTTGACGATCGCTCGCTGGGCCGACTGGGCCGCGTCTCACGTTCGGCGCCGTGGTAAGTTGCGTGCGGTTGGAGCTGCACACCAACACGCGCAGTAAAGCCCGCGTGTTTGCTGTTTTATGAATCATTTGAACAGCTTAAAATCACATTTGTTAACGGGCGCTTCGGCACCGCCAGCAGCGTGGCCTTGGAAAAAGACGGCTTACAGGAGAGAAGGTCCAGTTCGGATCTGTTAATCACATTTCAATTAACGCCTGGGGGGATAAATTGATTTAAAGCGCGCGAACCTGCTTCAACTCGTCTAAGCCAGCCGTGTAAGTTGGTACCGTATGTGCTCTATACGTGGAAAACAGCACTGTGTTGGCTTTAGCTCCTCCTGAAATATTAATCACTGGCAACTTCCTCCTTGTTCGGTGCATGATCAGCATCCTGCCAGCCACTTTATCCTCAACCTACCTCGCCTCCAAACAGCATTCTAATATATTATTAATGGACTCGCAGTTGCAGGGAACAGCCCTCCACCCACAAGTATCCATTACTTCCTCGCGGCGCAGTTAACCAATATGAACTGCAGAACAAATTGGTCCAATTAATTTGGATTGAGGTGGAGCTGAAAAGAGCAGGGGGTGGGGGGGGGGAGAGGGGAAACAGCAGACACTCCTAAAAGATGAGACGGTGCGGATCAATCTGAAGTTGTTTATTTGATGTGAAGGGTTCGAGGTCCATCAAACTCTCGCACAAATTATAGAATTACTGTGGATCTGAGAACCTGCTAAAGAGCTTTTAAAGATGAATTCACCGATCATGATACCAGGATTTTTCAAGTCATCTTCTTTTCTCCATTGCGGATGAATCAGCGTTGGATAGTAGCTAAGCAACAGTTGTACCATAAATATGAAAACAGGACATATCCAGCCGAGTGAGACGGAGGTCATTTTTGTTTTGTTTTTCCATTCGACTAAACAGATGCGCATCCCTTTCTGTTCCACAGGAAGCGGCCTGACAATGACTTTCATCCCTCGTGCGCAGACCTTCCCCAGCTTTCTGTCTGACGAACAGGAGGAGAGGCCCCGCCAGGAACAGGCGCCGTCGCCCTCTGGTGGCCCCGACTCCAGCTGCAGCCCGAGAGCCCTTCAATGACAAAGAGCCGAGCCGCCACAACCGGACACTTTCCCCAACGCTGTAGAGCGGATGTAGAAATGTGTATAGTCACACGTGTAATATATTGTTTCCTGGTGACACTTACGACAATGGTGTCAGCAGTGAAGCGAGTAACATGTGGAAAAGGACCTTTTTTGTTTGTGCCGTGCAGCAGTAGCTTCAGAAAGTGCACCAAGAATTCTGTAGATGTAGTTTTGATGTGTTTTTAATCTGTTGTCATTATACTGCTAAAGCCAGCAGGACCTCCTTTTTTTTAAATTACTGCATTACTTTAAAAGGTAAAGAGATACAAACGCACTAAGGCCCATTTTTAAAACTGTAAAAAACGCCTTTGTTCTGCAATTGATGAAATCACACAAGACTCAAACCACCATTTTAAAAGAAAATTCCACACTTTTTGACACAAAATCCTCCGAAACTGACTGCACTTTGCTGCATCTGTAGAATATGAGAATTAGTCAGTGTCGTACATACAGACAACTGAACTTAGATGGCAGTGACGAGTCGGCTAAAACCATAAATCAGTTACGGACAGCAAAGGGAAAAAGACATTCAAACCTATAGCGATATCGGAGTAGACGGGCATGACAGAAATGGTAAAAAGGCACCTTCTAGTTTAAACCGGCAGCCATACTCTACACGAGCAGAATGATTTGATTTGAAAAGCTTCCCAGCTCTCCTGCAGCCTCTTGTACCAATAACCGGTTTATTATTGTTGGTAACAAAGTAGATCACGAAAAGCAAAAATCATGGGGATTTTTTTGTATTTCTGCCCGGCTGGTTTTTTCTGATGAAGATTTAGAAAATACATCAGCATCATAAAGTGTATTTCATAAAACGTGATGTTTTCCATCATTGGCAGCTGAATTGAAGCTAGGAGGAAATGCTGTTTATGGCCGTCGTCACGGAGATATCCCTAATTGTGGCATCGAAGTGACGGTTAGTCTGTGACAATAACGTCCTCCTCGAGTGAGAAGTGCCTTCCCACACAGACCGCTGAGCGCCAACGCCGACCAAAGCGGCGACTTTGGACTTCTGCAGCTAACCTTCAGTTTTAAATAGCGTCCAGCCAGCTGTGAAATGCCACATCACCGCTGAAAACGTTAAGCAAAATCCGTTCCAGAGCTCTTTTGGGAAGTTGAGAAAGACACTTGTGGCCTGCTGGTTGCCGTCAGCAGACACTTGTTCATCGGTTTAATCGTTTGGGATTAAAGGAAGGCGTGAATTACAAAATTCCAGCCGCAGCTATGAAGATAAAAATTATCCAATGACAATCAGTTTGAGGCTGCAAAGTCCTCCTTTAATGTCAGATATATTTAAATGTGTTTTGTTGTTAAAAGATCCCCGTGGAACTGGGGACACACGTACAAGCACTCATTTTGTGTTGAAGTTAAGTTTTGCCGTCAGTCACTTTACTTTGTGTATCGTAATTAAAAAGGACTCGACCTTCATGTTCATTTGAGCCTGGAACAAAGAGCCCATCTATTAAAAGTGTCTGCATGTGTAACAGGATGCAGAAGGGACAGTTGACCTATCCGGCTACCTTTATCCCCCAGTGGTCCTGGTTCTGAGCTCAGGTGTGGTTAATACACGTGTGTAATAGTTCCACCACATCTGGAACATTAGAGGAAAAACTGAGAACACTGAAGAAAGTCTGAGTTGCTGTGTATCATTCGTAAATTTGGTTGCTTATGTTGCCATTCACTTGTTTGTGATGTGTTGGATTTCTGTTGTCGCTTCAGTAGGTTTAATGATGATGATTTTTGTTTTTTTTGTCTCATCACGTTTTGTGTTCTGGTCCTGTCAGATTATATGTTAATAGCACTTTGAAGTGTAGGAGTACAGTTTTCGCTAAATGTAAATATGTAATGTTTTTGATGCCAAAAGAGTAATAAATTTAATGTTCTATCATGTATCAGCATAATTTAATAATAATAATGCAATGTTGAATTCAAGGTAAGTGGAATCGTCCGACATCTTGGGAAATTTACTCATTTGTTTCATTCATTTCTTTCGGTTATAAATAAGAAGATTGATCCTTCACTTTTAAATATGAAGAGTTAATTTAGCAGCAAGTTAGTTGCGCTTTACTACAACATCTCTACATTTCTAGGTCTCTCCAAAGGTAAATTCATGCAAAAAAAGTCACGTCTTGATGCTAAGCTAAGCTAACACACTGCTTCATATTGCCTAACTTTTAGTACAAATGTCAATCAGAAAATGACCAGAAATATTTACTAGAGAATTCTTGCACAAGCATTTTGTTTACTAGAAATTGTTTTGTTGTTTTTTTGGATTCATTTTTGTCTTATTCACAGGAAATGGATGAGCTTGCGGCTATGACACTTTTATTCATAACACGGGGGACTCATTTACAATCACACACACCTCAGTTTCAGTAATGCTGGTAACACACACACACACACAAGCGGTCACAGTCAAATGTACAGTTGCAGCTTCTACCGAGAGGTAGAACGAGATGAGTAAACAAAAGGTGACAATGGTTGCAAACCATATTGTCCCTTTATGCTCCGCATAACTAGCTCGTCCACATTCGTCTTGTTTCCTAGCAGGACAGCCTGCATGTCCATTACTGCATCTGCCACTGTCTCCATTTCTATGGACATAAATGAATCACATTACACATAAACAATACACATATTTTACCATAAACCTGAAACATTGATTTACAGAAGACTACAGGACAAGTTTTGAAATCAAACAAAAATAAATACAACGTGGAAAACTTGCGACAGCGAATCATAAAAAAAGGGGTGTTTTTACCAATTATATTTTCAAAATACAGAAAAATGAACCCACACATTCATCCATAAACAGTTGATAGACAGAGCTGTAAACCAAAGCACAGGATAGAGTTTAGCCTTCACAATAAGAGCACGCTGTAAGTAGAATGCAGCCATCGCAGACGGAGAACCCTTTGGGAAAAGCGACAGTCTCAAGCGGCGGCACAGTGCTGAGCGACTGCCTTTCTTTCCCGTTAGATGATTAGACGCCATTGTCAAGCTATGAAAGGAAACCAGGAGGGATGAAAGTAAAAGGAGAGCAATTACACGGGCCTTTGTCAATCGTTTTACTTGGGGGTGGGGGAAGTGAAAGGAGTCATTATACAGGCTTTTGTTTGCTTTCTTTGCATAACGGTTACTGTCAAATATTGTTTTTCCACAAAACAAATATTTCCTCAGTAGCAATTATTAAGTACATAGTACATTTAATTAGTGAGAACAGGGTTAAACAAAAACGGCTCTCTGAGACGAACATGAGCAGCAGCTTGTTAAACTGATGCCAAACCATTGCGTGAATATTAATCAGTGTGATGCCTCGCTGCAAGGAGAAGAAATGATTATAATCCACACTTGTCAATGGACGTTCATCCAGAAAGATCTTCTGATCCCTTCACCTTTTTGCACACAATGTTGTGTAGTAAAAGTGACGTGCAGAGTGAGACCTTTCTAAACTACGTCAGGAAAAAAAAAAAAAAAAAATCACAGGTGCAGTCCAATGAAGCTCTTGACGCGTCTCGAGGATAATTAAAGCAAACAGGATGCATCTGGCCACGAGAACCAGAGCAAAGGGCCTGAATACTGATGTGAGTGACAGATTCCAATTCCTTTTTTACATTGAGGTTCAAAAATCATACATTTCCTCCATTGAAAATAACATCGTCAAAGCACGCAGAGCGTAAAGAGGTATGAAAAGTTTCTCGAGCCAGAGAACATTCGTGTTGCATTAAACATCATATTTACGTCGGCTCATTTCTGGTTACGCTTGGGTTTGGGCAGGTTGGCATAGACCGGGGGATTTTTAATCTTTCTGGACTTCTTTGGCTTCCTCGGACACACAGAGACGTTCGCATAGAGGTTTGACTGTGAATATGAGGTAGAGGTAGTATATGAAGTGTTAAGACAAATAAAGGTCACAGATGATGAGCGCATGGCAAAAAAAGTGTGTGGAAATGGTGCTTTCCATGATACGAATAGCGTTACTCAATTCATTATATTAGATACATTTCACATCACATTATTCAATTCATTTATATCAAAGTCAAATTAAATGAGGTCATAAGGATTACTATAAAAAAGTAACCATTTCTTAATGTTTCAATTGCAATTCCACGCATTTTTACATTTTGACAAGCTGCTGCGCGTCACTGTGTGTGACGTCATTGCGTCAGCGAGCATGAACACAGTGCAGCAGGTCAGATGACGACGGAATGTGCTCAATAAAGTGTGACGGTTTTATAATTGAGTGCGTGTCTGAAGAGGAGGCAAGGGAGGGCCTTAAAAGCATCAAGCGCAAAGACGAGAGTAGATATGACGACTAACGTGAGGCTCACCTGTCTCTGAGACGGGTGCAGTTTGACTCTGTACTCCACTCTCCGGTTCTTCGTCCTGGTAGGATAATCGGACGAGAGTAAATATGAATGATGCCGAAAGAGCGAGCAAAGTACAAAAGGGCAGGATTGTTTCTCAGTTTCAGACACTATCCCGTAGTTACCCGACCCCCTTCCCCATCCATTGCTTTTTTTACACAACCGATATTTGTGTTTCGCTTGCTAAAGACATTAAACCACATTGTGGGATCTCACCTGTGCTTCACTGCCACTGCAATGATGGCGATGAGTAGAAGAAGCCCAGATGCTCCGGCCCCGATGTAGATGTACATCATGTACACCGTCAGGCTGAATCCACCTGGAAATTGGAGAAAGTAACACAAAAAATTCAAATCAAAAAAAACTTTTGGGGTTTCTGGGGAACGACGCTCATTGTTTGCTCACGACCGACAGATAAATGTCATCTACCACGGAGACGTGAAACAGGATTTTATGGTTTCAGGTGTGCGTGGAATTATTTTTTACATTTAAACTTGAAGCAATGCTTTATTGCATTAGTTGTGTTTTATGACAGATCCATTTGCATCCACTAATCCAATGATGCCCCGTCCTGGCCTCTACCGCCACGTACGTTCGTGAGTACTTTATCCGGCGCATAATCTCCATCTGCGTACCTGGGGGGGACACGGTGAGCAGCACAGTGGTGGTCAGCAACCCGGCGTCCGTGCTGAAGCTGCAGCGGTAGAAGCCGCCATCTTCCCGCACCACGCCCGTCAGGTGCAGACTGGCGTCCAGGCTGTCCGCACAGCCGATCGTCCCCCTGTCGCCGTAGTCCTCGCTCACCAGGCGCCCGTCCACCTTTTTACACACACCGATGATGCCCCAGGGTTGGCCGTGGGGCATCATCTCCAAAATGACCTGGTGAACGGTGCCGCTGTGCTGGTGGTCGCAGCGGATGGTCGCGTTGTTGCCGGACTCCGCCACCTGCTCCGCGTACGGCTCCATCGCCTCAGAGCCTTCGCTCTCTTCGTCTGGGGGCTCGTCTGTAAACACAAATAGCCCGCCGGCGAAAGACACAAATGTGTGAAAACTGAGCTTTCATTTGAGGGAACCATTCACGTTGGGCCTCAGGATTGAAGACTCTCTGCCACGTTTTACCTAAGTCTTCCACCTGGACGTCCTTTGTCCAGGGACCTCGAGGGAAGGTCTGAACAGAGCAGTGGTAGACCCCTATATCCTGGTGAGTTACGTTCCTCATGGAAATACTTCCATCCATAGGCGTGGTCCTCAGGAACTCTATCCTCTCCCGGTAATGGTGGGAGAAGGTCACTCCATACTCTGGGTGGAAAACGGCTACCGGATACTTTTCCGGCACTTTGGTCCAGGACACCATGCTGAGGTTGCCGCTCCAGGGGCACACACAGTTGAGGACCATCCCTTCTTGGAGATTGACAATGGCAACGTGGGCCGCGCCTGGATAGAGCGCATTTTTATGGTTCATCGGAATGTTGAACAAATCGAGAAAACACGGCTGATTAAAAAGGTTTTAGATCTACGTAAACCAATAAATCACCACCAGGGTTGTATATTATATCGCTGATTTATTACATTTTCATGAAACTAGAACTATGTTATAGACAGCACAAATCTAGCCCTGTGGCAAAGAGTTAAGATGAAGATTAGCAGTCATTCACCAGCCCACCTCTCGGTAAAAGGTTAATTTAGATTAGATTCAACTTTATTGTCATTGCACAGGGTACAAGTACTGAGGCAACGAAATGCAGTTTAACATCCAACCAGAAGTGCAAAATAGCAAAAAGTGCAGAATAAAGGCATGTTTAGTTTTAATCACTGATAATTTAAACCACCACACAGAGTGATCAAGCTTCCGAGTTTTCAAAGCTTTCTATCCGAGCTGAATGACGATTGATTTAAAGTCGAGTGATGCCCTTGGGAGTTCTGGCAGGTTTAGCATAATAGTGTTTTGCAATTCTCACATAAAAAAACAAAAAAAACAAGCTTCCCTTCCAGCTAAATGGAAAAAAACAAACAGAATAAAGGCATGTTTAGTTTTAATCACTGATTATGAATGAATGATTAGAAACGGATAAAAGTACACAAAAAGTATTTGCATTAATTAGGCTCACTTTTCAAGACAGAGACAGCAAATGCAATTTTCAATAAAATGGTTACCATTCATTGATCTACCATAACGTAAAATACATATCAACTCCATACCTTCAAGAAGGGGAAGAAAGAGGAGTACCACGAAGTACCAGTGGTCCTTTTGTACAGCTTCCATCTCGCCCCACCGAGGGAGAATGAAAGCTGCATTGATGAGACGAGTCGAGATGCACCCAAGCTGCACTTCCTGCTCGCTCTCCGCCTGCAGGGGAACACTTGAGTAACTGGGACACTTGATGGTACAACGCGGTTGGCTCGTTCCACACAGAGGGGCCCTTTGCCACCGGGGCTGGGAATGGGAGGCGAAGCTTATGGCACAATGTGGCCTGCTGGGCTCCATGTGGGAGGTTTCCTCAGATGTAGCCAGGTTGCCCTCAGTTACCTGGGATTCAGCAGTTGATTTTCATCTTATTATACAAGTAATTGTTTACTCTGTTGTTTAATTAGGACTTTTACCTTTAAAAAAAAAAAAAAAAAGTTTTGAAGAGTTCTAATACTCTGAAGATTCCGGGCCTGTCCGCCACTTTGGTCCCAAAGGATCAATGACTCCCAATGATTTAATGAGCCCCCATTTTTTTCACCAGCGCCACCACGAGGTTGCCGTTTGTAGTACTATTTGATGGATTCAAATGAATATTCTACTGATATTTTAACACGTCTCTGAGACAAAACACTCTGGCGATCCCTTGCTCATCCGCAAGACTCACATTTAAATTGGGTCACTTGTGTACCACTTGAGGTTGCGATGCGTGGATAGCAGCACGACACCTACAGCTTTGTCTGAAGCGACAACACGGCGTATTTCCTGAGAAAAACCCAACCGCCACGTTCTCACGCTGACCCAGTGAATACAAAACAGTGGTTCAAATTGGACAGGTGCAGCTTTAATTTTAAAATGAATTAAGATCTAATAACATTTTACAAAATAATAAATAAAAATACAATTAGTTATTTAACAGATGGGAAAGATTTTCAAGGCACTTCAGCAGGTAGGTACTCGTCGGATCCTGCTTGTTCTCGGCCTCTGCGGTTGATAGAAAAAAAGAAAAGAAAAAGCTTTGTAAAACAAAAGGAAATGCAAAAACCTGATGTTCAAACTCAAGCACAAAGGTGTGTGTTCATCAAAGTGAATAAATGCATACCCTTTCTAGAGATGGCACGCGCCTCCTCAATCCTCAACCGAATAGAGGGACACTTCAATGTAGTCTTAGCCTTTGAGGGGAAACAAAGATTAGGAAGCAGATGAGCGTTCTTTCTTTTTTTTTCGGGTTTATAATCAGGAGATGAAAAGCGTTGGTCATTTCCTCTGTGTATGAGGCGGACAATGAAGATTTTCAGCTGATTTATTCATTGGAGCGGACAGAATGAAGACGCTCAATGAAACAGTTTGACGTTTATCAGCAATAAAATGCACTACCCGCCGGTGAAATACACATTAACCGAAACTGCTTGGTGGTCGCACATGTGTTTGTGCACGTGTGTACCCTTTGATTGTTATGGAGCAACGCCCAAAGTGCAGAGGCTGCCATGGAGCGGGTTTCCATCTCCTTACTGCTCAGACAGCAGAGTAGCGCCTTGGTGGCTTTGTCTGAAATGAAGACATGCAGAGAATCAGAGGCATCCGTCAACTGTCAGATAGACATCGGTGTGCTGAAAAGAGAATTTGTTTGATTCAAAATGACAAGAAGAACTATTTAAAGGGGTTCTCGGTTATCAAAACACACATTACCATAGAAAAGAACGCTCAACAAGACAAAACAAATCGATATTTTTGGATAACCACAGTGTAATTCCCCCGTGCCTTGTTCATTTTTATTCGTGTTAATATTTTTTTTTTTTAAATGTGGTCACAAATGACGAACCGAATGTGATCATACACACAACACAGGAAATGCGATCTTTTTACAGGAAACAATCTACCCACTGGGGCCGACTAAAAGACGGGGGAGAGGGGATGTGGGGGTGGGGGACGTTACAATCTGTTAGTCTCTCCTCTGTTCATCAAAATGTCTTACAATCATCAATCTTCTTTCACCATCTACAATTCCTCCTACTAATTTAAATGAATGTGTCCATCAGAATGTCAAACCACGTATTAAATATCAAATGCTTCGCCTTCTATCTGAGCGATGCCAGAGCAGATTGAACAATCAACATGATGAAAAGAAAAAAGAAGGGACAAAATACCCTATACATTTACTACTACTATCCCGCCAACTACTATCCTGAGATCAGTGCGTGGAAGCGCGCTCCCCTTCCGTACCATTGGCCACGACGTGCTGCTTGCTGGCAGGGCAGAAGCAGAGGTTGTGAAGGGTGAGAAGCGCGTGGCGCCGGTGCGGCGCCAGGTCAGCCAGCAGTTCCAAAGCTCCGGTCACCCTAAAGATGCTCAGCTGGCCGTCCTCTGCGCACGAGACGCTGACCAGCAGCCTCAGCCACAGGCCCAGCGGGCCCCCGCTGACGGCCGCGACCTTGGCCCCGCCCGGCTTGGGCATCGGCACCGACGGGAAGGCCTGCAGGAAGTTATCTGAGGGCGACAGAAGGTGGATCATTGGGAGTCTTTGCACACTAAAAAAATAAAATACCCTCCTTCCCCCAAGCCGGCGTGGGATGGTGAGATTTTGTAGAAGAAGAAAGCGAGAGAAACACATTTATTTATAGGTTTATTCATAGCATGTACCATTTTACTTTGGAACGCGGCATATCACACTTGCCTTGTAAATTTGTTTCTTGCAGCCAGTTTCGCAAACTTAAACTGCTGAATTGGCTCGTCTGAGCGGATCAATTCCAAAACAAGTCATCCCTCATTTAGGGAAATAACTGATGCTCTTTCATTACTTGGAACTCACTCTGACAAAACCATCCATCACTTACGTCCGAGATCCTTTTCACTGAGCAATCAGACACTGTCTAACACCTGACATGTTTGCAGAATTCATCTTGTACCAGGCCTGTACCTTTTGCAGGAGGCATCTGCAGTCGCGGGACATGGCGAGGTTGGCCAGGAGACAGAAGGAGAGCTTCTGGACAGAGCAGTTATCTGGGGCGACGCCCGAGGCCAGCCTCATGACCGAGTGCATCAGAGAGGTGCTCGGGGTGCCTTTAGATCCTGGTGCTGCACCGGAGCCGGCGCCACCGACGCAACTGCATGCTGGTAAGAACCCCAAAAAATATGTCTTTGATTAATCAGATTAATCAAAGTTCAAGGTTGCTTGTCATTTTCACAGCCGTCCTCACCCGCATACCAACATACATTAACCGCATTCAAACTATCAGTACACGAGGCCGCCATTCAGTGTCAGGGGTCAAAACGGTAGTCAGCAGCTTTGTAACAGTTTTCATCGCCGGGAAAAAGTCAAGACACAAACAAAGTTTAACAAATGCTCTCTTCTCTCCTGTTGAAACCGCTCGCTTCTTACGGTAAATCTTCGGGGCCGGCTCGCCGTCCAGCCAGCGAGAAATAAAGACTCCCTGCACGGATGTCTGCTCACAATACCCAAACATCTCTGCTTGACTGCGTCCACGGCTTGTTTGCTCTATAAGCTGTCTAGCCAAATGACAGAAAGGATGAAGAGTGTAATTCCTGTGGAAAGAGGGGTGGGGAGGGGGGGGTTTGGACGCACTGAAGTCTCACGTGAAGCATCAGGTAGCTTTGCCGCTGATACTTTCATCTTTATTTCTCACGAACGCACGCCGACTGGTGATGGGAACACATTTCTGTGAGTGTAGCATGGGTGGGGAATGATGTAGCCTCGGGCTATGGCTGTTATATATTTAGCAACTTGGCTATTCGGGAACATAAACACAAATAGTAACATACTAATAAGATCTCTCGGCACCACATTCACATCTGTACAACTGGCATGACTAATTGCTGCAGCTGCAGAAAACAGAAGCGCAAGACAAACACATAGTGTGACCCTGATTGATGTTGCTTATTGGAGGACCTGACAGCCTGTTGGTTTCACTAATCCCGGTATGTTAAGATACCCCAACAGGCGAGTGCTGATGTTCGCCCCGAGGGTATGTCATTACCTGTCAGCAAGGCTTTAACCAGGGCAGCCTGCTGCAGAGGCAAAACAGTAAAAAAGGAGTTGCATCTTTTTTTTGTTGGGAGGAGGCGGGGAGGGGAGGGGGGGGGGGGGTGTTCAGCAGCAAATTCTGGCTTTTTTCCCCCCAAAAAATGCCCGTAAAAATGTGTGTTGCACAGACGAGAACAAGACTAAGGCTTGAACTAGCCGTGCAAACCCTGGATGAAGGAGGGCAGACTGGAGATAAAAGATTCGGCGGAAATGTAGCAATGTAGTCTCGGGAGAAGGAAGGAGCCTGAGGGCGGATGGTGTAACACTAAGCCTGAGCGCAACCTAAAGCGAGAGAGAGTGTAGATTAGAGCATGCACACCCTGCCGAAGGAACTGGTGCCAATCAAACGGAGACACACACGCACACATGGAACTTCCGTTCCTTCACTGATGAAACCGATTTCCATTGCGCAACTACATCACACACAAAACAGATCAAAGGCACCGCGAGCCGTTTATCAAAGTTACATTTCCCCCCACAGTTTCCTCGCCGTGAATTTAGCATTTTCTCTACTCAAAAAAAGCTTTATTCTGCGAGTACTTTTGCGACCCCAAATGTTCTTACATTTGCAGGAAGGAATGGCAATATCTCCAGCAACACACAGATGCCCTGTGCTTCCACCTCATCATCTCCCACTGGTCTGAGACCCGTTGCGGCGCATACAGTGAGTCAGACACGCAGCCCCCCCCCCTCCCGGTCCCGACACTGTGCCCATTGTGAGTGGAAGGCGAGCAGGCGCTGGTTTTACCCAGCGAGAAACAATGTTGTTCAGTGGACGTCGGAGAGGACAATGGGACTCTTGGTGCAACGTGAGTGTGACTCAGTCAGATTGGTAACTGCAGTCGGAGGCGATGGGCAGGCACGGGCCAGGCACAGTGCCTGTACACACACACACACACACACACACACACACACACACACACACACACTTTCACAAACCTCCGGGGCAGTTGGCCGTATAGACGCACAGAAGCTCCAGCACCGCCTCCATGGTGGGGTCATCCAATAGCAGCCAAGGCCAAAGAGCATAGAGTGCCAGTGTGAGGCGAGCATCTGTGGCCACCACCTACACACACACACACACACACACACACACACACACACACACACACACACACACACAAGTAGGAATGAATCACACACGCACGCACACATTAAGACCAGCATACAGGCATTTAGAAGATTGCAGCGGCACACATCACACATTTGAGACACCCTGATTTATACAACAGCACAAACACAGATGGCGGTAATCACCATCAAAATGTTTTTCCTAAATGTACAGGGAAAACACACGTGCGAGAATAATAGTGGGGTAAATACTGCAGCAGAGCCTTGCTGGATATAATACGCTCCATGAGTGATGCCATTACAAGGGTTTAAGGAGCTAAACTCGCTGAGATGTTAGCAGGGCCGTGCACATTTGGGGGGATCTCATTTACAGAGCATTGGTACTCTGAGGTCCCATTAAAAACCAATTAGCAGGGGAGAATATAAAGACAGAGGCAGAGGCTCACTTTGCATTCGTCGTTGCGATAAAGAGCATTCCGTAGGATCTCCACAGTCAGCTTGACTTCTTTTAAATAGCCTTCTTCCTGATGACAAAACAAAAATTTGTTGTGTAGTATGTTGAAAACACTAGATAAATTACATAGATAATCCTATTCTATGTCAAAAAAATCCATTCAAGTTGAATTCACATTGTTATTTTATGGAAAAAGAATAAGAATAACACAGAAACGCTGACGCTGGTTCATTACAGTCAGTGTCTGCTCACCTTTCTGCGGTGGGAAGCTTTGCCGGGTCGAACAGACTCCAGGTGGAGCTGGGAGTGAGTTTGCTTCATTTGCTCAACGCAGCTGTCTATTAGACCAGCTAGAGAAAATGAAAAAAAACTGTTCAAGGTCGTTTTAAAAGACGCGTGGCATGCAGCTTTTACCGGGTGCAACCACCATACGAGCTGGGAACATTTTCGCAGAGGAAGTAACGGGAAGAAGAACCTGGAGGTGTGTGGGAATTACCTTTGGCTGCGTGTTTTTGAGCAGAGGGACTGCTGGCCAACAGTGCCATCAGAGCAGCGCCGTCTGCGTCTTAAAGGGTCCTGAAGGGTCCTCTATCAAACTCTGGCATCACAACACAAAAAACGTTTAGACAATTCTAATTTCCACCGTGTTCCAAAGTTTAGATGCACTACCCCCCCATACCTGCAGTAAGAGTTCACACAGCTCGCTGGCTGAGGGACCATTCACAATGTCAGACAGAGCCGTGGCAGGTTTGGAGTTCGAGGTCTGGACCTCCGCTCCCCGACTGTCTGTCTCTGCTGTGAATATTGTACTGAGGAACTGCAGAGCCACTGTGTGGAGAAGAGGATCCGTCCACTTCTCATTCACACACACAGATAATGTTCCTGCAAGAAATAAATGGAGTGAGTTAATCTCACTGCACTAATATACATATAGATATAGTAAATATCACAGAGAGACAAAATGGCAAATCCATTCTCTAAATCCCCTGACAGATATTGGTCCATGCACTGGTGGGGAACGCACTGATCATTTGAATGTGTATGCAGACACCCAGCTGCCATAAACAAGGACACACAAGCATAAACACACGCACAAAGGCTCAGCGTTCATCCTTTACTGGACTCATCACATTCGCCTGCAGCGCCATTAATCACAAAGGAAGAGGAGATGGAGGAGTAGAGGTAGCGTAAGGACAGGGTGCAATTATCTTATCCCGGCATCTGTTCAGGAAAGTTAATACTTTCCACAATTAAAGCTCCACAATACTTAAAATGCTCATCTTGGCTGTTTAGTGATTTACTGCAATCAGCATAATTACCCTAATGACGATCATAAGTCTTTGTAAATTTGAGGGGAGAAAAATAATTTCATCTCATTCATCGAGATCTTGTCAAAACGTTGTGGGCTTTTGAAATTAAATTAAACAGCTGAATGTGACCAAAAGGACAACAATCTATCATTATAAATAGTGAGAAATGATCCATAAGAGATCATTAGAAACTAATTAGAAGCAGCTTTAACCAAAAATTAATTCAGTCTTTTTGACTTACTCTGTTTAACACACCAATGCCCACATACGCACACGCACACAGAGCAGAGAATCTGTGTGTACCTGCAAATGTCCGCCAGCGTCTCCCCAGCGCAGCAGAGACAGATGGGTACGCTGCTGAGATGTCCCTCCTCACCAGAGTAGCCAGGAGCATAAACACGTCTGCCCAGCACACGCACACCACGTCCCGGGTACCTGCGTCTAAAAAAAAAAAAAGGAGGCGAATGATTCACACATTTCACGACAAAAGACGGCCACAAAGCCTCACGCCAGCCCACACTGTGGAAGGTCTTGCAGGGGGGGGGGTTTGGTGAAATGTATGAGGAGCAGCGTTGATCATTTTTTCAGATCTGGAACAAAAAATGATTTTCATTTAAGCTTAACATAAAGGCTCTGACCCAGTCCTTTGGTATCCAACATGAGTACAGCCACCAGAGAAGTCAAAAGCCGTCTTAGGAAGTCCATCTGGCCAATCAGCTCCTTGCTCACCAGGACACATGACCGCAGCAGTTTGGAGAAGCTGGACAGGAACTGCAGCAGGGTGACAAACTGGACACAAGCACGCGTATTCACACAGGACACGACATTATTACAAATCAACCAGCTGATTTATTGAGCAGCTAAAAGGTTAAAGAAAATAGAAAAACAGATCTATATCAAGAATAAATTATTCTATTTTAATAGTACATTTTCCGAGCTGCAAAAACAAGGCTATGCTTCAAGAATACATTTTTTAAATATTCCACCCACACAGGAATCTCAAGGTGCTTTCAGACAACCCAACGCGTCACTGAACTCTTCCAACCCACGTTTTTTGTGGTAAGTCATAACAAAAAAAAGTTGAAAAACTATTTTTCTGTCTATCCCAGTGTTCCTTACCTGGATCTTGATGTCTTCTCTCTCCCATGTTAGGATGCTGGGTGTCTTCAGCTCAGTCAGACATTTCTCAATGAGCCCAATATCTAGCAGACTTAAGAGAAAAGTATTAGATTATAGGAAATTTGTGTATTTGTAAGAAGTTGGGTAGAGGGAATTGGTCTCAGACAATATCCGTATGTATTTAAATAATCTTTTATAATTATTTAAAACCACAGCTCGGAGTTGATTTCATGAAATTTATTTGTACTGCAGAAACAGTCTGCCCCCACAGATGGTTTTATGTTATTACCATTACTTACTTTGCCATTTATCAACACCAAACATTCCAGCAGCATACTGAGTATAACCGCCGTGTGTTCACGCGGTCTGAGCATGTGGCCTCTCACCTGGCCAGCGCTCGGAGGAGCTGGTTGTGTCGGACGGCAGCGAGGGTGAAGTCTGGCAGGATGGCCAGCAGGTTAGCCAGCAGGCCACAGTGGGCCGTCATGAGGTCGGCAGTTACCATGACAACCAGTTCCAGCGGCGGGGTCTCGCCTTGTCGGGAGTCCTGGGAGGTCAGTGAGTCGCTGGCGTCTGTGTCACTCTGACCTGTGAGACGCATCAATAGGCAGCTAATAGAGACGCACCACCACAAATACAGAGCTCAAATAAGGAGAGCAAATGTTCTACTCATGTATACAGTATTTAAGATATGTGGAGAGACTTTTCTGTTTATAATAAAAATACAATGAGGTTCTGTGTTTCTTAGAAGAACAATACGGTGGTGTGTGGTATTAAGAATGAAACCATAATGTGTTACCGTCTCTGTGAATGCATGTGCACCCACGGACACACACCCCTCTGCACTAGTACCTTGAGTCATCAGTCGGCTTACTGGATTATCCTTCACGGTGCTCGATGGGGAGGGACCCTTGGGGCTGTCTGGACCGGAACCTCTAGTCTGTAATAGACAACATGAAGATAGTAGCCTGCAGCGTGCCTCGCTCAATGCAGCTTTTTACTGCCCAACATGTGAATGCGGGGTGCATGCCCAACGACACGAGGGCCTCACTGACCACGGTGCTGGAGGTGGAGAGGGAGCTGGAGGGTCTGCTGGAGTTTGTAGTTGGGGCGTCACATCGCCATAACCAAAGAGAATTCTCAGAATCTAGACCAGCACATAATGGCACATAAATTAAACAGTAGAAAGTGAAGTGAAGTGATCTTTATGATGAATGACACATAAAGACAAAACCTACTCAGGGAATTGCCCTCCTGAGGATGGGGTCCACCGGTGGTGGCAGCACAAGGCTGCAGGTTGAATGTGTACCTGCCGAGGTAACATTTGGAGGCAGAGAGAGCCACGTGTTGGAAGTACTGACAGTGGTAAAGGAGAGCCTGGAGTGCTGGAAGACCCACCAGAGACACACCAGACACCTCATCATGGACACACGGGTGCTAGAAGGTAACAGAGTCAATGGAGATGCAGGGATGAGTCCACAATCCGCTGATATTTAAATGATAAAAATAGGGGAGAGGAGAGAAAAAGGACTGAGCACAATCCAGCTGGGCTCAACTTTGGATGAACCTTCACTAAATCTATATTTTCAACTTTAAATAACATTACTTTGAAAACTGCTTTGTAAGCTCAAGCATTGATCATTGATTTTCACAAAGTGTCTTTCCGTGATCTGATTTGAGGCATGCATATCCGCCACGAAGACTCTTTGTTTGTGGACAACAGCGAGCCTTGTTCTTAAATTAATTATATTTTGTGATGACATCCCAAATTAAGATTCGTTTGGTGTTTTCACACAGAATTAAACTGAATTATTTTAGATTAGATTAGGCCTGCGCACAAGTAGAGCCTGCGGGGCCCAACAAGAGGGAAACGGGGGGGAGAAACAGAGAGAAACTCAAACAAAGGGGTGAGAGAAAACATTTCTGTAAAAGCTTTTTAACTGGTTGGCAGAGCTGCTGACCTGCCAGTGGGAGTCCTTGGCCTTCTCTGCATTGGCAGGCATTGGCATCACCATCAGGTTCTGCAGAATAAATGCAGCCTACACACACACACACACACACACACACACAAAAAAGGGGGAAATACACTCACTGGGCCGAGCAAGACTGCATCAGCAACAGCGCCATCTGCCTGGATTTTGCTGGTGATACATAAAGGTCCAGCTAGATTTTCTGACAATAGATGAAATAAAAGTGAATCTGGCTTTACTCCTCAAAATGTGGTTCGATGTGTGGAAAATGTGGGACACAAGAACATCAGATTTTGTCAATCAACTCGGTAAAAAAAAAGACACTGCTGTTCCATACTTTGGCCCAGAAGTCCTCCAGGAGGAAGCCACTTACTTCCTTTGTGAAATAAGGGACATAATAATAACACTCCAACAACAGCGCTGACGTCGTACCTCTCTGCGCACCATGCTGCTCTCCTGCTGATCCAGCAGGATGTTGAGCAACGTGCCCCACAGACCTCCGCTGATGTTCTGACAGCTGGCACACAGAGCCCGGCAACCGCTGGGCACCGCCGACAGAGCTGCACCTAAACCCAAACTGGCAAACCTCACCTGTTATGAAAGGGGAGGAGGGGGTGGGGGGCACGCAATTGAGTGGATGTGTGAGGAGGATCGGTGAAGACATTTTGAAAATAAATAGTATGTAGGTACATCGGCAGGCCTAAGACAGTACTGTAAATGCGCATTTGGCCGAGCTGGTTTATTCCATTAAACTCTGATGATGGCAGTGACAGAATCGGCCTTGTCGAGGGAGCCTCTCAGACCGCCTCATGTATGACTAGCTGGCAGGTGCTTCTTTGTGCCCGCAAGCTCTTACACAAATCTCACGGTTTCATTTGGTCCCAAAAGTCAAGCATCTGGAAACGCATTTCTTACGACAGAAAATAGTTTGTGATGTCCAACTGAAGAATGAATAGTGAACAGCTGAACACTGGAGTGGCTACATGAATACGGTTTATATACGTTGGAATCACTAGGACTTCAAAGAGCTCGTTCGTACCTCTTGATCGCGGTCGACCCACAGGGGGATGAGCCAGGCCAAACCGAGCTGCAAGGCGCCGGCCTCCTCGGCAGCCACCTCGTTATTCCCCAAAGACCATTGGGATATGAAGTCCTGATGCGGGCAAAAAAAAAAACAATAACAATTTTTTTTTGTTATTTTCCGATGCCCCGTCGGTCATCTTACGAGGACTCTGGTAAACCAGCAGCCTCACAGCAGAATGAGCACGTTTGTCACTTGCCTCGTCACGGGCCCTCATCTCGTGGGACAGGTGAAGCAAGCAGATGACGGCGCTCTTGGTCACACCTTTCCCCATGAAGGACATTGAGTTGCCTCCCCACTCTACATAAAATGATGAGATCACCTGTGTGAAGGACAAAGGATCACGTTGGTTGTGGCTGAACAAAAAGGTCTTTTTTGTCTCCTGTCATTCATTTCGATTTTCGCAAAGACGTAGTGAACAGAGCCGCAGGTTAGTAGCATTCTGACAGGTTGCTTTATGTTTTTCAAGTTAGTCATTACTCCATGCTTGTCATGCCACTCACTCCATCCAAAAGGAAAGATGAATACAACTGGGACTAATTATTTTTGCTTTGATGCGCCATCATGGCGTGGAACTGCACCGAAGGGAGGATGAAGAGAGAAGAGCCCCATGGCCGGCTGAGCTTTCGGGACCCCCCCTCCCCCCCGCCCCTACTGTGCCAGGAGTAGGAGGTGAGAGGTGGGTCAGAGGCTTGATAAGATGGGATTGTTATCGCTGAGATGAAAAAGCAGCCGCCGGGGGGGGATCATGACTGAAGAGGAAATTAACCCGCGATCATCACACGCTCTAAATTCACATCCGTGAGAGCCGCCCGTTAGAACGTACCGAATGAAGAAGCGCGGATATTGTAGTATTCCACCGGGCCTTCATTCCAAATTAAAAATAAAAGCTTACACACCTCTGTGCTTAGGACTGCTGCGCAAGCTGGTCTACAGCGCTTCGTGCTATTGTTTTATGGACTGTTGCACAGACAGATGGAGGAGGCGAGGCTGATTGATCTCACCAGCGTTATCACAGTGCGGCATATCTAATCAATGAGATTTGTTACTTATTGCAATGAGTGTCCCGTAACCACATTTTTGCTTAAATCTAATTAATTCCTCAGAAAGCATTGTGCGTATTCCTTTTTTTCATTTCTGCAGGCAATCTCATCTATAACAAGGGGGCGGGAGGCCTTCATATGACCATACAGGAACATAAGCACACGCACTGTGGAAGACGTGGCGCTTCACACACACACACACACACACACACACACACACACACACACACCTCTAATAGCCCGCTGAGATACTTGGAGCAGAGCAAGGCGGGTTCCAGGTCAGAGCAGTGGGAGCTCCAGCCGGGCCGAGCCGTCAGGCGGACCATGCCCTGCAGTGTTCTCTCCAGGCTGGGAAGGCCGTAGAAACGTGGGGCGTCGGAGACCCTCAGGCTCTGCAGCAAACGGACTGCCAGCTGGCTCTTGAAAGGGCCGGCTAATGCCAGAGACAGCCTGGACGTGAGTGAGGAAGAGCCGAGGCGCACAAACCAACCAGGCAGACAGACAGACAGACAGACACCAGGGTGGACGAGAAGCAGAAAAGAAACATGATAACATTAACAATTAGCATTTCAATTATGCCGCATTAGCCTCTGGCTTGTACGCGTTCCGGCATTCATTTTCGTGTTCCAAGTGACTAAGCCTGTTGGTTTGCCATCAGGAAAACGAGGCGCTACCTGTCCGCGGTCTGCGTGAGTCGGAGCAGTAAGGTGTTAAAGAAGCTGGTGAGTTCTTTCTGCAGTCTCTGGCTCACGTGGTTCTTCTCTTCCTCCGGCCCTACTGGGCTCTGAGTTGAGGCCTGGGTCTCCACACCGAGCAGCAGATTGAGAATGGATGCCGTCTCCTGAGAATGAGTCACAGAGGAAAGAGCACCAACAATTCGAATTGTTTGTTTTTATTTTACGTTCAGTCGATTATGTCTGTATTCTCCTTAATTAACTTTCATCCCTTTAAATGTTTGTTTTCTCAACTTTTTCATTCATACCACCCACCTTTTCTCTGCAAAATTCTCATGTGAAAGAAACAAATCACGCAGACTTTGTTGTTGAGCAGTGCACACGGAGTTAATAAAATAAGTGTCGAGAGCGACAGATGTGCCTGAAACAGCTCAGTAATTATGGAAAAGTCAAAGCAAAGCAGAGCTGCTCACCCCTACCAGGCATTCAATCTGAGTCGGCTTTAGCTGGCAGGGGAGGGCTTATTGTTTACACACACACGTTAATGAAAAAAGCAAGGTGAGACTGATTAAATCCTAAAAGTAGTTCTCCCCGTTAAAACAGGGTGTTGATTTTTCTCCTTGGGCTGAAATATGAATCCAACTTTTTTTTAAGAGCTCAAATAAAATAATCTTTTCTGCGGGTCTGAGGTGGAAGGCGGTGAAACTATTTTTCTGTTGTTAAGAGAGAGAGTAATGCGTTTGGCTTGTCTGCCGGCATGTGATGGATTAGAGCTTTGATTACACGTATATAACCCTCCGTGTTGGAGAGGAGAAGGTCTAACCCGATTACTAGCTAGATAGCACACACGCACACACACACACATTATACAAGCTCATACACACAGACCAAAGAAAATTTGCAGTACAGTGGTACATATAATAGTCCATACTTTTTTTGTACGGATTTGTACACGACTACTATTGAAAAACTGCACTTGCACTTCATTTGATTCGATGTTTCAGTTCAGAGTGGTTAGGAATGTATTTTATGTTCAAATCAAGTGAAAGTGATTTTTTGTAAAGCAGTGTTCAGTTAGACATTGAAAATAAAACATGGAAAGATGTTTTTTCATACAATTGACCGTTCAATAAAAATAACTATGTATTTTTGAACATCGCCGCTGAGTCATCGATGTAATGTACGTATTAGAGTGGTATACAGCAAGTGTATTCTCAGCTCTATTTTTTACATTTTCCAAAGAAATAGAGTATTGCATCTCTGTTTTTGAATCTCAATATATTGTATCTTGAAACATGTATCGTGATGCTTATCGTATGATGAGGTGCTTGCTGATACAAAGCCCCAATTACTAGAAAATAGTTTATCACACAATGTAATTATACCAATTTGTGTTAAAATAATTCTAAATTATTCCATAAAGTCAAAACCCATCCTACCATTCCTACTTGAGGGTGGGGTAAAATGCTTGTACCTGATTGAGAAGCAGCTGCAGCATCCAGCATAGGTCCTTGTCTTCTGGGTCCGATGCAGACTCTGTGTGCATCGGTTTGAAGTAGGCATTCAAAAAGGCAACGATGCCCACTAGCAACCTCTCATCTTCAACACCGGCTGGAAGCACCTGAAGAAACCTGCAGGGAGGAAGTGACAGAGGAGGACAGAACAAGAGGAAGAAAGATTGGTTAAAGGAAGAATCTCAATAATAACTTTTTGTTTTCAGGATACTGAATATTCTTTTTTTTTTTATGAAACAAATGCTTAAAAAAGTGAACAGTGGAAATATAAATTGGTGGTGGAAGAAAGGCTATTACTTATGCATCATATCTTTTTTTTTTATTATTTAGTGAAATAATATTACCAATTTTGTTTCAGGGCAAGTGCAGACTAGTTACAGAAAGAAAATAGATTTTTGTTTTTATATATTTATGATGTTTTTATATGATGTTAAACTAATATTAATATATCCATCATTTCATTTGCGCATTTAATCATTGAAATCAGTTGGTCCAGGAAATATTTACTGGCGATTAGCATGTCGCTCTAAAGTAGAGGAATCTATATGTATAGTTGTATGTGGATCCTGGGTACCTTGTCACTGCTGCCTGCCAACTGAGCGAGTGAAGGGTGTCTATGCAGCGGTGGGTGGGGATGTGAGGGTGGGCCAGTTGATCAATCAGTAGATAGAGGCTCAGCCTGGAGAGGGCGGAAGTCACCGAGCTGTGGCCTGCTGCTGTGGCGATGGCCTTGATGCAGCCCTGCAGCGCAGTGGGAAGATGCATGGCCTGCAGCAATATAACTTGTGCTTCTGACAGCTTTAACTCAGGATGAAATCTGCAGAGACAAAATGTAAATGTTAAAAAAAAAACACACATATATTCAAAGCGCACTACGTGACTATTGATGTGCTGACAAGTGTGCTGCACCAGAAGCATACTAATGACTTCATTAACAAACATATTTGATCACCAATCCGGGGAGATGAGACATTTATGAGTCATCCGAAGAGAGATGTATTTTTTAAAGAAATACTTGTAAACGAACCAAGCAGAGGCAGGCATCATAGCAAGCAGCAATTACTGAGCAATTCTCCAGGAAACCATCAAAATGGTGTCAAAAAGTATGAAAAACGTTACACAGTAATAGGACAAAACAATATCCTCAGAGACAAGGACCCTGTGCACAGAGTTGTACTTTGCACACAAAGGAAGATTAAGTTGTCTAGAAGAAGTCATCTTCTCCCAATCATCGCACTAATAGTGGATTGATCAATCCGTGCTGTGCTTTAAACATATTTGCTGTAATTAAGCCGGTTGGAACTGTGTGGGGGACGTTGTCATCTTTTAGAATTAGCTCACATTAGAGCTAAACAAAGACAGATGAAACACAAGATGCCAACCCTTTTGAAAGAATTCTCCACCAGAGAGAACACGATTGATGTGTGGCAGGATAATATATATATATATATATATATATATATATATATGCACATGGTAACACCGCACTGGTAAGAGTAAGAAACATAAGTGTTACTTACTCAGTGGCACTGAAAGAGGTGTCATGCAGCTCTTCGAGGAGGTTGTCCATCCCAGAGTGCCATGCAGTGTTCCAGGCGACCTGCAGGGCTAGGCGGGCAGGGGCCAGAGTCAGGAGGTCAGAGGACGGGGGCAGGACGCAGCAGTACGGGCTGACGGCGTGATGAGTCGCTGCCTGGAATGGGATGTTGTACCTGGGAGTAAGAGTAAACCGCTCGTGTTTCTTTTGCAGTGCAGTGGAATGTTGAACGCTGATCTTCAAACCTTTCCAGGCGAGTTTACCTGCGCATTACTGACAGTGGCAGGGAGAACGGTGTGAGGGTCGCATCTGCATTGGATGAATCCGACCTGATTCATACAAAAAGCAGGTAGCACAAAGGAGTTTTCAATGCATTTGCATGTATTTTAGGAAACGAAAAGTTAAAAAAGATAAACTTACCATATCTTAATGCTGGCAATCTCGTCAAATAGCAGCAAACTCATCAGGACGGCGATCTCATTTCCATTGCCTTTGTTCTCCTTTAATATCAACGAGGCTATAACAAAGACATCAAAGACAAATCACAGAACAACCACCACTCTCGATCTCGTGAACGAATGCATATGAAAACATTTTAAATTCCATTATAGGGTGGACAAAGTGGAAGTTTGGAAAGCCCCTATGAGATTACTACCCCATGCCAGGCATTTGTTTACATAAGAACACTGAAATTGGGCATTGAATGCAAAGCACAACAACCTGGCTCATATGTTCTGCATGAATACAGATTTCTGCCGAATCTATAACTATAAAAAGGTAGTCAGAATCGAGATGCTACAATTTAAATTAAGTGGCTGATAATTTAGGCACAAATTATGCAGAGATGAGCACCATGGCAACCAGTGGCATCACACTAATATGCCAATTACTGCCGTGCGACAACATGGTTAAAAGCTATGCATCAATGGATGACTTGTCAGCTTTTTTTGAGAATGTGCCCCTGAGCCACACAACACAACACGTAGAGCTGTTACTTAATGAGTTGCCTTGTGAATTACCCCTGAGCAGTGTGAGGAGCAGGAGGTTGCGTTGTGCCAGACTGTGCCTCAGAGATGGATCAGCATAAGCCAACTTCCTCAGGATACACACGCACGACTCCAGCAGGCAATCCAAGCTCTGGGGAAAGCAACATATGCACCCAGTGTTTAATTGCAGGGAAAACACAAACACACATATTCTCTTTCTGTCTCCCCCTGCTCTGTGTCTCTCCGATACGAATGCACAGGGTCTTTTTTACTGTCACTTCGTATGAGCTAAAGCCCGAGACAGCTCAGGTTGCCAGCAATGGAGGGTTGGGAACAAATCGAGCCTGCAGGCATCCCTCTCATACACACTTGTTGTTTGAGACAAATCACCGTTTGTGGCCCCGTTCCTTCACCTCTGTGCAGCCGGCCACGCTGGGCAATCACCCCTGTTAGCGGCTTCCGATTCAAGGCTCGGGAATGATCAGCAGATTGTAGTTACTGGAGGGAGAAAATCGTTGCTCACCATGTCCTGTCCGACACTATTAATACAGGCCATTTCATCCTTCTGTCATGCACGCCTCAGTGGGTTTCCTCCACATCCGCTGGCAACTCGTGTACTCACATGAGCTATGTGATTCAAACTAGGACATGTACGCGAACGGAAGGGCATGGAGCTGCATTCATGAGGCACCGCAGTGGTTTCACTCGTCTTAAACAGCAAGCCATTGAGCACACGTCCATACATCACTTGGCGAAAGCAGGTGGGTTTTTACCTCGTCGCCGTTTACACTCCCTGTGATGAAAAAAACTACTTTGTCTGTTATTCCGAGATTCTTCAGCACTGGGTGCATTGCTGTGTCTGCAGGAGAACGTGGGAGAACAATAATTCAGAGTACAGACAACACACATTTGCATAAATCATTAACTATTTGCTTTAAACCGTATGTTTTTTAAAAACATCGGTGGCGCGGCGCAGCGCAGCAGAGAGAGCTCTCACTTATCACACAAACTTTAAAAAGTTGTGTTTTTTATTTTATTTCATTAAGTTCATACAAATGGTCTCTATACACCTGTTAAATCCTTTGAAAACCCTTTTCTGTGTTGGAGAAAATTCAGGCACGATGCTGCATTGCTTCAATCGACTATTTAAGGGGACCACATTCAACAACAACAACTTTGCAGTGATATTACCGTCTTTACAGAGCTACTTCTGGGGTACAAACTATAACCAGTCTATGTTTGTTTCCTAATAAAATACACCTTCACATGAGCACTATGATAACTGCACCATGAGAGACGAATGAACAAAGATTTTCAGGGTGGCTTTGAAGTGTCCGCCTGACAGATTCAACATGGAAATGTATTAAAAACAGTAGATGATAAATACGTTGTGAGATAAATCCAATAGATGTGTTCATAACAAATACTGACTATTAAAGTCTGTATGTTTTACAGATGGCTGACCTTGAAGAACCACAGACAGCTGCTCGGCAGCAGATCTTCTCAGAGAGACGTCAACGGTGTCCGAGGACAGGATACAAAACAGCTTCTCCACCGACTCCACCTAGCCGCCAGTAAACACATTGATTATCCCTTTGTGGCTGCCGGTGCAGATGTGTATCCAGGTGTGTGTGTGGATTTTTACCTTGAGAACAAACTTGTTGCTGGTGTCCAGCGTGATGTCCAAAGGGTTTCTGAGGCAGAAGAGATTGGGCAGCGAGGAGACTGCCGCTTGGTCAAGGTCCGGTCTGGCTTTGCTGGCATCATTGTCGCTGGTTAAGTGGGGCAGGATTTGTTGCACTGCTGCTATTCTCACGCTGTTAATCATGAGCAGAGTTTATGCAATACTTGGGAGTTAAATATTTCATTGAACATCCTACTGTTTAACATAGCTTGGAGTACCACACAAAGCAGCCTTATTCAGGTGGCAAATACAGCCTTATGTATGCATTATAATACATATGTACTGATACATGGGTAAAAATGTTACCTGCCTTTTTAGTGGGTTAGTGGTTTATTTTTATCAAAAAAAACATCCAAATGGCTGGAAGGGTACCTGTTGCCTAAACGTATCTGTTTTTTCTTCCTGGCCACTGTCTGGTGTTAATTTCTATCTCTATTCATGTGCTGGGACTGGAGGGCTGTTTTACACATGCTTCACAGGGAACCTAGATGACTGCATAGGAACATCGGCTTACAGCCCCAGACAGTAATATTTCCAGCACATTATGGCTTTTACAGCAGAATATTTAGACTAGCAGGAGATTGTCGAAATCCCCAAAAGCCTTGAGACCCAACGTCAAACTTTTGCAATGCAAAGACACAGAAGAAACACACATCTGACACATGCACAAACACACATCCCTCATATGCGAGAGCATCCGGGCGGGCGCAGAACAAACAAAAGAAATAGGCGCACTCACGTGGGCTGTCTGGTAAAAAGAAGTCGGAGGGCTGCCTTTAGCTTGGCTCTGCTCGGAAACACGTCATCTCTCGCCACGTCCGACATGTCACTTATCAGTAGGACGCAGTTTCCCAGGGATTCCTCAGTGCTGGCATAACCCTGCCACCCACACACACACACACACACACACACACGCAATTCTCAGACTGCCTTGGCAGACAATGCAGCAAACAACGGGGAATTCCAGCAAAGCTGCACAGCCATAAATAAAATATGCATTGCTTTGATTACGAGTGGTTTGTTTCTTGTTGACATGACGGGCCCAATCTCTGAAATGGCTTCCTTGAATTAAATCATATTTGACAGCCTAGTCCAAACCTCATGCATATTCATGACGGAGTTCCAGGCTTTCTGTTGCCTGAAACCGAACAATTAATAAAAGCTGTTTTTTCCCCACCACGCATAAAGGAAATAATACAACACAGAATATGTAGATGAGAAAATAACTGTTTTTTCTCACTGGCAGCTCAACGTAAAGTCTTTGTGATCCAAGAAATCTAAAATTGAACTTTTGATCACAGTTTTGATTGTGTAGAATCATACACAACATCCCCCCCCCCCCCCCCCCCGCTGTGACACAAGTGTAATGCAATATGCCGCTTTATGAGCGCCGAAGTACAAATTCAACAGAGCCTCTACAGGGTGCACAACACCTGTAATATGGGCATGACCGGGTGAAGTGCCTCAATGAATCTGTCCCAGGTCGATGCTGTCATCATCAATCGCCCTTTGAGCAGGAAGAGCAGGATATCCTTGGCAGCAACGTTCACCTATAGATCACAGACAAGTGGCTGAACTCACAAAGGTGCTGGTGGCGAAACATTTACCAGCAAGTACCGTCCGTGACAGACAAAAAGCCTCAATCGCGTGACACCAGTGAACCACGACGGCGTACCATGACCTTAAAGCGATGCACAATACACAACACACAGAAACCCCTGTAACATGTATTCCTTTCAACTTTGACCTAGCACATTAAAAGATGTGAGGTCTGAAAATCTAGTGGGTAAACACGGGATTTTCTTTCCTACCGTCTCTGCAGAATCCTGGAGTCCAAAAGCACACATTTCATAGAGCACCCTGTGGTGGGTGAGAAAGTTGATTCCACCGCAGGCTGCTGATTCCTGTCGGGATGCATTGTGAATGCCAAGGCAGTCCTAGAGGTGTATGCAGTCACACCAAAGCACACAGTAAACGATCAATATCCTCTCACTTTTGCTCTCATTACACATGTGGCCAAGTGCTCTAGACGGCAGTTAGTCAAATGAAAAGAAAGTCTGATTTAAAATGTCGTTTGTGGGCTTTCTTCTTGTGCGATTCATTCATCTTCATCCTACATATTTACATGATGGGTGCCCCACAGACCCACATTAAGGCTTTAGTAGCCATCATTTTAAACACTGACCTTGACCAGGTTTAAAGTGTGTTTGTATGTTTCCATCTTGACAGGCAGTGACGGATGGGACAGCAGCTTGAGGAGAAGTTTCTGGCTCTCTGTTTGGAGGAATGGACTGGGCTGATTGAACTTCCACCTGGCGAAGGGACACCAGAATAATTCAAACAAACGCGTACATAAACGCGACAGAAGTGAAAACGTTTGTTTGGGGGGGGGGGTTTACGTACAGGTAAGAGCACATGTGAACACACTCCTTGACAACGTGTAAGTGCTGGTGAAACGGGAGCCCGTTGATGGCTTGGTCTGCCAGCTCCAGGATCTCCAACCAGTTCTTTTCCCCCTTGACGCAGAGAATAAATCAATGGCAGCGAGTGACAGAGATGTATGGTTTGTATTTGAAATAGAGGACTTTCCTTTGAGACGGCAGAGGTCATTTGTCCATTCGCTTATTGTATTTATTTATGTGACATGCAGCTCATACCTCAGCTTGCGTTTCCTTGAGGAAGTTACAGGTGGATTCCATCCAAAGGGCCGCGCGGGTCACCCTCCTGTAGAGGTCATGGCTGTCTGAGTTCACCTGCTCCAAGTAGGCCACGGCGGCGTCTTGCACGCTGGGTAACAAACTCCCCAACGAAGGGTCCAAGCACATGTGGAAAACCGCTGTTGCTGTGTTTTCTGGGAGATTGTCACTGGCCTGTGTGAGGTTAGGAAATGTTAATGTTCTCTTTTTGAGTTGAAGCATGACAGAAAAAAAACAGCAAAGAAAGCATTGTGAATGTGATTGCGCGAGTGCACAGAAACACACATTAACACACTTACCTTCTCGGGAGGGAGGATGGTCTGAAGGAGTTTAACGGTGAACACAGCAATGACAGTGTACGCGATTCTGTGGTGAACCTGAGAGCTGGCGGGAATATCTGTCGAGTAGCTCTGATAAAAGCTGAGGATCCCGCCCAATAATTCCATGCAGGCTTGCAGCTTTTCTTTCTAAATAGAAACACAGGCAGAAATGTAGATAAAAGCATGCGGGTCACACAAACACCGCCACACACGCCCGTGCGTTCACTCTGCGTGCATGTTCACGTACACAGGCGCCCACCGACGCAAAGCTTCTGGCTGGAGGCCAGGAGGAAAATTGCTCGTTCCAGCGGTTAGGAATTGAATGCAATCAGATTTCAGGGTTATTTTGGGACTAGATACAGATCCACCCTATCTCCGTTTGAATAAATTGGAACAATCTATTCTCAGGCACTTCGTTTTAGGAAGGATAAATTGAACAGTGTAGGAGTTGAACCAGTAGGGGGCAGTAAATGCCCTGTGCATTGCTGTGGCCGCCGTGGGGAGGTCGGCCCTTTCCCCATAGGAAAAAACCTAGAGGTCTGGCACACTAAAGCTGCTCTTCACATAAAGATGACAAAACATTGCTCAGGCTGCAATACTCATGTGGGCATGTGTTAAACAGCAGAGGGCCAGAGGGACCAGGGCGTGACGAGCGCATAAGTCCCCCCGCATAGGAACAAACGCTTTAAACAGTCGGGGAGGATGACAAATGACTGCAGGGTTAATGAAAGAAGAAAAAATACAATTAAAAAAACACCCCTTCAACACAATTCATTGTATGTGGACTTGATACACAGAGTAAATGGAGCCATTTACCAAACCAACAATAGGTAGAGACGAGACCTGTGCACATATGTGAGAGAAGCACTTTGTAACCTCACATAATTCATTCAGCTTAATCTCATGCCTACAGTTCTCTTAGACGGTCGAGTACCGTATGCCTGTTTGTCGGTGGCAAACTGTCTGGTAGCCAACCCGTTTCCCCCCTTTCAGTGAACTGCATCCACTCATCTACATGAAAAGGCTGTTACGAGTTGCGTTTCGACTTGCCAGCTCCGTCCCCACCAGGCTGCGATCGTCCCAGACCAGCTCGTGAACACTGTCCCCGAGCAGGTGGACGGCGTCACACAGCAGTTCCATAACGCGATGGAGCGTATGCAAACCCTCTGAGAAAAAGAGGGGGGGGGGGGGGACAAGATCATGGATGGATGGAAAGCAGACAAAAACAGTGGTAACCGAATTATGTAATTTACAAAACCTTTATCCTTTCTAAATATACAAAGCCAATGACTCCTACCTGTTTTAAGCAGTGGGATGGCATGTGTCATGGTGGCAACAGTGAACTGAGCCAAAGTGAGCTGCTGTAACTGCAACTCGAGGACATCTTCTGCCCCCAGGTCGGGAAGCTCCAGCTGGGCCACATCTGCAGGAGACTGGGCCGCCTGCCTCTGGACCGATGCTCCCCCTCGGTTCGAACTGCCACTGATGGATCAGATTTCAAATTTTATGATCTGTACTCTGGACCTCTCAAACAAAAAAGGAGTGACGTATGAGCTGCATGGGGATGGAGGATAAAAAACTGCCGTCATGGGAATCGGAACAGATTTTTAAACACTGCAGGCCGGCCGCTAGAGGGCTCCTGGTCGTATTCATAACCAACAGCATCCTTCACGGTCTCTTTCATCTCAGCGTGTGGGTTGCTGGTGACACCAGCGGTTTTGTCATTATCAAAGCCACAAAAGAAAAGCCTGCATCTAAAGACTCTCGATTCAAGTGTGAGGTCTGGTGAACAGTTAATTCGACAACACTGCTGAATCCGATCAAAGAAGGAGTTTCTTCCAGCAAGAGAGATGGACTGAGGTCATTTCATTTGTGCCTCAGAAGTGCGACTGAGTGGATCTCTCAGCTCTCCCTGCCAAGATGATCGTCGAAGACAAGCAACGATAACGAGCGAGAAATGACGTACCAAAAAGGATGCGATTTAATTATCATTAATCCTTATGGCACATCCTACACATGCACACCTGGTGGAAGCTGCATCTCCGTCTTGGCCGTCTCCACTGGCTCTCTGGCTTGTGCGTCCTACAACAGACGGCCGAGGACAGCACTCCGCCGCCGGAGACGAGGCCTGCGAGCGTTGGGTCGCGCGCACTTCCCGGGAGTAGGAAAAGGACGAGTTCTGGGACACAGGATCTGTGCAACCACAGAAACAAAAAGCAAGAAAAGGGGCATTGCTGAATGATAAAGCAAAGAGACGGTTATTGAGGTGCCATAAATGACTCAGTCGTGAATCAATCAAAATCAGAAAGTTTTGAAAAAAGAAAAGTAAAACTGCACTTTCAAATCAATAACCCTCAACAATAACCAGGTCACAATATTTGAAGTTTACACTTCGGAATATGTACGGTATGATTTAGGAATTGCTTGTGCAAAGTCTATGATTGAAAAGTGCAAACACATAATAAATATATTGGTTGAAAATGTAAACGAACAGCATAAGCATTGAAGATTCTCCAAATCCCTAGCTGTAACTCGGATGGCACGCTACCTTGCTTCATGGAGTAAAAGCTTGGATCGTGATGAAAGCGTAGTCTTCTGCGCAGCCCCACACAGAGCTGCCGAAGGCAGGAAAGCGCGTACAAGTGGAGGAAGCCGGCCTCACCTCTACCTGAACCCAGCTTCAACAGGGACAGCAGGTTCTGAAAACAGAAGGGGGTATTTTAACTGTAAATCTGGGTTATGTAAAAGCTTTTCTGAGGCTCCAAATACCAACCAGTAACACCCAATTAGAACATTAGTGTAATTGGGAAAACTTATTTCTTTGTGGATTGGCTAAAAAATAGAAACAGATCCCCATGCTGAAACAATGTACAAGACTGTAAAAACAGAAGAGAAATGCTGCAATAAAATTTGCTATGTAAAAAGGGAAAGTAGGAAGTAGTTTAGATTCCGTGACCTCTTCCGCTATGTCATGTCTCTAAATCTGGAGGTTTTCCTGAATAGCTCTAGAAACTCAAACCGAGGGCAAAATAAAGTCACCATTGGAAAAGTACTTTTCCCGTTATGTTTTTTTGATGATGAGACTGCTGGGTGACGGTATGCTGAAACCTGGAGCATCTCTAATTCACTTCTTTATTACAAAACAGTAATGTTCACTTTGTGGCTCATCCGGGCAAATCTCCACCAACACTCAGTTACAGTCTGTGCCAGTGAAAGAAGACCTCCGTTAAGCGAGGCGCTATGTTGCCAATATGATACTGGTGGATAATTTAAAAAGGTGCATGCCACATTTTTCACAGGAATCATACAGGCAAAAACAAAACAAATAGATGAGCATCACTGTAGAATTGCACTAGTAGGTCCCATGTGGATTCAGTTAGAATACACGCTAAATTGAGAAAACATTAAACCTTTTTTTTTGCAACAAACGACAGTTTAGAGTCCTCCAAAGCCAACAAGATCATTTGGATCGGCTTTACAGGATTCACGATCATTAATATTCAATAAGTGCCTCAAGAGGAAAAGAAGCAACACATTCTATCAAGGTCTCTCAAAGTACATCATGACCAAACAATACCCTCGCAGTAATCTAGTACCTGCTCAAGCAAAGTAAGGCCCCACAGGCCTCTGCAACCTCCTCCCAGATCAAGGACACAGAATTATAAATTGGTGATTTGTTCAAGGACACCAGTTGACAGGTTATTATTTTCACAGTGGCTTGAGAGACCATCCAATAAATTCCATTGTGGGATGGTCATGATAGCCACTCCAAAAGACACATATAATCTACCTGGTGTGAATAAAAATAAGGAACGCCCATATATAGAAGTGCAAGTTTTTATGCACGTTAACAATAATATTGTGAATGCAAGAATGATTTAATAGTAATGATACCTGTACAATACTTGGTCTTTGCAGGAAGATCTCGGCAGGAAAATCTTGCATTATGACGTCACACAGAAGTTCACATGTGGTCCGCACCAAGTTGGGGTTGCTGCTCCTAAGAGAACTGTTGCAAAAGAATACAATCTGATATATTATGTACTTAGTAATCTAACAGCACCCGCTCCTTTTTTGGAATTCACACTGTTAAGCACTGAAAGTTGGCATGCAATGTTTCCTAATATGGATAACCTGTTCAATTATTTGTTTCCTAAATTAAATCATAACTGTGTTAATTTAACATTGTGTCAAGTTAATTGCATTGCATTTTAATCAGGCATAATATTATTTGTTAGATTCATGTTTTGCAGCTCACCTCTCGTTAGATGAAAGTATGTGTCTGTCTGTGTTTGTCAAGGTAAGCCATGGAAACACAGAAAACTTGAGACATCTCACTGACTCATGCACTGAAAAACAGAATAATAAAATGTTTAAAACGATGCATTTATTAAGGAAGCACGCTCTAAGTTTGGATTAAACTACAAGTGGAATTCAAGATGAGACCCAGCACACCAAGTACCCAGGTACGAGTATTCAAAACACTGGTACCTGCTATCTTCTGTGCTGGTACGTCCGCGTGGCTCAGCGTTGTCTTGTGGAAATACCCCGTTTTAGGAAAAGGATCTTCAGGTGGCACATCTGTAGACACCAAATCTGTTAAAATATCCTTTTTACATCGAAACCGTTATAAAGCTCTGTGAAAAACAAACCAACAAACCCAGCCCCACGCTCTTCAGCCTCTCTGCTTCATAATATGACAAACATGTGGAGGTTTCCAGAAGACAGAATCAAAACAAACAACCATTTGGCTGTGGCTTGCAACACCTGTTGGAGTAGTAGAGCGGCGTCCACGCGAGGAGACCATAATGTGACTAGGGAGTAGCTCGGGTAGCTGGAACAGCTGGTCCAGGGTTCCGTCGATGACAGCTCGCAGTCTGGGTTCCACATTCGGAGACAGTTGAGTGAGGAAGTCCACCGCCCCGACGTCTCTCAGCATCTGGGCTGCGCTAGGATGCTTCCGAGACGAGAAGACAAAATAATGAAAAAATCAATATGTACGGTGCTTCGAAAATAAAGGATCCGACATGGAGCTTTCTAACATCACATATTAAAAAAATTTTAATGTTGATCCGACTGCAATTAACTGGTTAAAATATGCTCAGCCTTGTTGAGCCTAAATCCCATTTAAAATGTATCAGAATATTTGCAGTGGGTAGACTGCTGCTCTGTAGCCACAGGAACCACCTGCTGACGAAGGTGATGAAGAGGATGGAGCCGATCTACCTTTGACAGGGTGGAAAGCAGCTCGAGGACCTCCTCCTGCATCGCCACCTCGGGGAAATTGAACCATTGGAGGAGATGCACGAAAAGCATCTTCTCTTGGACGATGTCAGAGACGGAAATCAGCGAATGGTCCAGCTTAGAAATGATGTTCTTCAATGCGCGAACTCTTATCTCCAACAAAGAGTGACCTAAAAAAACATTTTTTTTAAGTATCAAGTTGAGCAGAAACGTTGCAGCAGAGGTGGCGGCGTTACGTTCAGGCGAGTCGGCTAGCTAGCGGCTAGCTCACGTTGGTTTAACTTCAGAAAAGTCGTAATGACTCGGGATAAGCAGGGTTAGTGGACACTAGTGTTGACAATACATGCACCTGTGCTGACTAAAGTTAAGTGTGACGTGGTCTACCTTTAGCTTCTATTGTTATGGGCTAACGGCTAGCAGCGTTAAGAAAAGGCAAGTTTACAGCGTTTTATTTGAACTGTTCAGGTGACGTTAACTAAGTCCGCGTCCTACGTTAAATTCGCTAAGCTAAAAAGAGAAAGTCAGCCCACCTATTTTCTTGATAATGGGGGATAACTCCATGTTCACGGTGTGGAAGCCGTGGCTTTCAAGTCGGGTGGGTGCCAGTTGTGCCGCTGACATGTAAACACCCGGGGTCGATTTCAACAAACGCGCCAGTCTCGGCCCACTTCCTGTAGGGCGCCGTGGTGCGTTCAAACGAGTCAAGCTGTGTCGGAAAAATCTTATTTGTTTGTCTTTAGGGTAATAATGATGTTATGCTCAATCAAATATACAAAAAAATGTGCAGCGTTTTCAGAGAGATCTGATTCGCAGCACTTTGAAACCACGTTATGTGTGCTCCAATTGCAGCAGCATACAAGCAAAAGAAATCAGGCAAATTCAGGCATAACAACAGTTACAAAACCAACCAAGAGGGCTATGCTAGTTCCAAATGACTAGAGGAATGACACATTGTACCAGTTATTTATTTTCCAACCAGCATTGACACCAGCTGCCTTCAAAGTTCTTTTTTGGGGGGTGGGCAACTTGCTATCTCTTTGTCAATGACTCTCTAACATTTGCAGTAGATCTGATCACATTATGTCAGAAGACATCCTGCCTCTAGGTGGGTGATTGTGACAGATCTGATGTCCCACTTTGTGGCACACATCTCTCTAATCGGATCTTTTGAAATGTTCAACATGCTGAAGCAATTTTAAGAACATGTCTTTAACCTCTTTAGGGAATTTCAAAGGGATTCAAGCCAATAATTTGTAGAAAGTTTTACTTTTGCCTAGACAACTTTGAGAGGATAATTGCAACTATGCATTCAAGATTTAAAAAAAACACTAACACAAAGCTTTGGGGGTGTCGCGAGGACGACGCAAAAACGTCAGCCACGGTGAGCGGATTATCCATTACTTTTTTTCCTAATTCACATGTAAGAACATTTGACCAATATCATAATAATATCTTTACCAACTTACATAATGTCCTTGTTCTAGTACTTCTATCACACTGAGCCACATTTTAAAATCCGCGATGTTTGGACGAAAAGAAAAGTATTGTTTACAAAGCCCTGCAATTTGGTGTGACACATTTGTTATGTTTGGAAACTTTTTCACTTCATTTAAAATTTAAAACAAAGTTTTGTGGGTTGGAACAGAGTTTGTCAGCACAGCATGTGTCATATTGATGAACCTGCCAAAGGGTCAGGCTTGGGGAGGTTAAGAATTGTATTCCGGTTAGCCCAACATCTGATACAAATAGCACTGGGTTTGAATGAATGTTGTTGATATTCGGCAGTTGTTCAATGAGAATACAGAAGGAGAATTCCGAACATCCAAACAGCTGAGCAGGTCATCTTCGCCTGGTGGAGAAATGCATCACCCTAGGTCAGACCAGGAGGCCTCAATACCTGTTGAGTCTGCTTCAAACAGAACATTATATCATTTCTGTCTGACCACCTCTGAATCTCTTGGATCATTTGTTGGTCAGGCTGCAGTTGGGAAGCACAATGTTCCTTTATAAAAATAAAAAACATGGGTTGTGGTGTACTGCTTTCAGACATGCCTATTTGACCATCAGACATAAGGTCTGCAACTCTGCCAGATGTTTTGTGACTCTAAGCTAAATTCATATTAAGGTTGAAGGGATATTTGCCTTTTGAACTTTTTTATTTCTAAAATATAATTTAAAGGTTTTTAACATTTTAAATCCTATGCAAAATCTGTTATGTATTTTATATCAGGGTGAATTACTCAAATGCCAGAAAACACCTCAGGCAATTAACGAATTTACATACTTTGAAGCCAGATTTATTCTCAAAGCATCTCACATCTCACAATGGTTAAAGCTGATCATGAGTACTCATGTACCTAACCACATTTGCCAACAGACAGATATCATGGAGCACCATACTGCTGATGTATGGTTAATTTTGCAGACAATTGGTAGAGATAACATGCTAAATGTGCATTTCTTTTCACTGACAAGGTCCAATCCTCAAGCCAAATCACAACAGACTGCAGGAACTTTATGAAAGATTCAAGAATAATAGTTTTACTTCAATCCAAGCGTGGTTGCACATTTAAAGCCTTTAAACATGCCAGTAAATGTAAATATAAGGAAGCAGCAATAAGCTATGCACAGTATAGTAAAACCTTCACAATGGCTGCAGGGCAAAAGGATTGGTTGTTAGTTGTTACCCTTTTCATGCATACGTCAAGGTCAAATACGCTCATTAATATAATCATGAACGTAGATGTCCAGCAGCAAAACCCAAGCTGTTACTTCCAGAATTAGTAATGCAAGGTCAAGGATGATGTTAGACTTCATCAGATACTTAGGCAAACATGTGTTTAAGAGTCATTACATTACATGCGGGATGCAACGTGCTATATATAATACCTCTTATTTTGAGGCAAAAAAAAGTGATTCGATGGATTGATTCAAGCTTGGAACACTCATTGTTTTAAATATCGCAATGAAAAAGAGGGAGAAATAATTAAATCAATCTTCTAAAATGAAGTGAGCCACCTAAACGAGGCAGAGGTGTAGAAAACATCCGTACCATTTGAAAGAATGCTCATATTGTATTATTAAGGCAATCCCTTTCTATGTTATTCCACAGTCATCCCTGAAACAAAACCCAAGTGATCCCACTGGCTCTGTCACTGTTTGACATGCTTGCTGTACCCGTCTTCCGCTCCGCTGAAAGCGTTGTGTAAGTCAGCATGGGCACGTAGGAGCCCGCCGACAATCCCGGTAGGAGTGAAGTCATAGGACTGAGTTGAGAACTGAAACAGGCACAGACATATTTTTGCATATAACGTATGGCTGATACAGCATTTGTTTGAAATTAAGATGAATTACGAGGAGCTTCGCCATGCGCAGGTATGTCTCATTAAATAGTGGCCTTACTGCACGAAATCTCGACTAGAGAATTTAAGAATAAATTGAAATCCTTTTGATAATATGGGTCTTGAGCAAGATAAATGCTCCGGATGCCCTCATGTTGTGCTCCGAGGCAATGGACAAGATCGTGCATGATACTCAATCTTTGTCAGCTCTTCTTCTAAACAGACTGCTTTAGTAGTTATTTGATTTGTTTATCCCGTCCTCACACAGCCTGGGTTATGCCCCCAGCTGAATACTTATCTGTTTTCCGTGCCTGGCAAACATCAACCAGACTAAAGTTTGTTTGTCAGGTCTAATACAGCTCATGGAAACATTGCATCCTTGCTTCCAAGTGTCCTTGGTGAGCTGCCACCCCTCCTTTCCTCCCTTTACACCAACCCTCCCCTCCTTGTGCCAACACATCAAGTCAACCCTAATAGGGCCGGGTAATTAGAGTCGTTGCGTAGAGCCTGTCTGCACACCGCTGCCCTAAGCAGGCCTGGGGAAGGACTGCCATACACTTGACAGTGTGGAAAAACAATGTAATGTTCAGTATATGGATCAAATTACGCTGGCTGTGGTAAACACAATTCGCTTTACAACAATACTGACACTAATTAGGCAACCAATGTATCATTTCAGAGTTCAAGTTTTAGTTGCTGCATCAAATACTTGAAATACTTTGAGAGCGTACTTGGTGTTTCTGGAATACAAGTTAAAAAATATCTTCCTACGTAAAGGCCAAACACATAAGCTTCAGGGAATTAAATGTATGAATCTAGAGTCATTTCTATAAACGTCCTGCCGCAACAACACTCTACACTTTACACTCAACCACTGTTTCTAGATTTGCTGTGCTTTGTGTTCATCTGATTTGAGCCATATATCTTTCTGTTCAATTTACATCCTCAATAACCCTTTTGTCGCAGATGGTCACAGAACATGCATAGTTTTTGCAAAGCATCGCTCCATTGCATGACCGCTACCTTGCACAACAACTTCCTTCTACGTTTGGCAACTCAGCAGCCCCTTATTATTTACAGCGAAATTCTTTACTCGATTGCATCAAGTGGTGGCTTATTTGGGAACCGTTTAGTGTAGCTTTACCACAATAAAAATAGCTCCTTATGGGATCTGATTAATGATCCTGTTTACAACCAAGTAATTGAAGTGGCAAGCCTTGGCTGATTTAGAATCTCTATTTATGTGAAAAGAATTGTGCGTAGAATTTAGAAAAGTTTATAAAATGATATACTCTTCATTTTCTTTTTCAGAATAATGTGCATTGTTCTATTGTTTTTTTATGTGGAGAATAATGGAGAACATTTTTTACACCCGGTTTGTAACACTGTAAAGATACAAATATTGCAATATCATCCTCGTGTTACCTCCTTCAGAGATAGATATTGATTTGACATACTTTTATTTTCAATGAAAATAATATATCACTCTTTTTTTTTTCAACCTCAGATCCACAAATAAGAGGATTTGAAATTCAAAAAGTATATGACACAGAATAGGTTTGTTGTTTGGTTAAAATGCTTTTCTATTTGCAGGACACATTCTTTTGTTTGCAGAATAGGTAACCTTTTTTTTTAAATACTCTGTTTATTTAAATGTTGAATTATAACCCCACGTGTTTAGTGAAACAAATGCATAAACGTTCACACAGTGTTCGGGCAGCTCTGCCTCTGGGACGTAAACACTCGGTGAAGCCGCTGATTCGCTGCATCTCCCTCCGCTCCCACAATTCAACAGGCAACAAAGGAAGAAAGGAAGAGGCCGTCAGCTACAAAGTGTTAGCCAACCCTGGCAGAAAGGTGTCACCGTATTGTGTCATTTCTAGTCGGACGCGTACTCCGGCACGTTTAGGAAACAACCAAATTCAGCCGTAATCACGCGACGTTTGGTCGACTAAAGCCCGGCTAACTGGTGTTGTCGACAGTAAACGCTAACTTAACGTTAGCTAACTGGTTGACTTGGGCAGAAAGCTAACATTAGCCTTTGCTAATGTTAGCCAACTACCGTGAAGAAGCGAACCTTTCATGAACGTGTTTTGCCAGACAGATGCCAGCCCCTTTGGGTTATTTTGCCCAGTGAGACCAGCAGAACCGACCGGGTAGGAGATGACATAACGTACACATGTTCACAGATGACATATTTGCTTGGAAAGTAGACATAGTAGGCTACCATAGTGGTAGCGTAGTAAGCTAGTGGGTGTTAGCATACACGCGAGCCAATATCTGTTAAAATGGCAATTCGTTTGCGATTGACCACATTGTTTCTCCTGGTTTTAGCATTTACAGCGTACCGTCACCTATTCTACCATAGTTGTGCAGACCATGCACAAGTACTGTCATTAAAGTCCCAACCTGTCAAGCGTAGCTAAGCTAAAGGCATGCTTATGTGACGCTAGGCCTCCCTAGGTCAGGGCATACCTTGCTAGCGTTGACTTAACCAATACATGCTGTTTATGCTTAAGATACTATAAATAATGTGTTGCAGTTTTGTGGGATACACGTATACAATTAAGACTTGTAGGACTAAATAAACACATGAGCTGGCTTTGTGTTTCACAGCACCAAATGAAAGGTGGTGGAGGTGGAACTTGACCCATCCAACTGAGTCACCATTTTCCTGCACATAATGGTGAGTAATCACATTGCAGCTGTCTTGATATCGAGAAGCTTAGATCAAGTCTAAGTAGAACATGTCTCTAGATACTGTCTTGACCGTATTGTATTGATGCATGTGTGGACATTGGATATTGGAACTGTGAGATAGTTTCATAGTAGCAAAATGTTAAATTAAATGTTGACCTTTTGGTACATATGCTGGCTTTATATATAAGGGCTGTTAAGGAACGTTGTCTTCCATAGTAAACAACAATGCTGAGTGCAGTGATCCTAAATACACAACCAAAGCAACACAGGAGTTTTATTGGCAAACAGCGGCAGCAGCACAAGCCGAGCAAAATGTGACCCGTGAAAGTAACTAATATCTTTTTAATGTCTGTTGATTGTTCAAACAACCACAGCAACAACAGATTGGCTACCAGACATTAAACATAGCAATGATATTCATTGTTTTATTACAAATCCCCTGTGCTGGGATTAGAGTTTAGGGCTTCAATAAAAACATGAATAATCAAAGAATCGTTTTTCTACCTTAATTCTGTTTGTCTGATAAATTGCAGCGCTGTTGGGCTGTAATGTGTTAAATTGGTGGGCCTTAATGTTTGTTGCATTCAAAATCTTTTAGTTATTAATGGAAATACTTAAACTCTACAAACACAATGCACAACCCTCTAGAAGTTAATATCAGTAATCTTTTGTGTCTTTCTACAGGGTTTGATGTCTCCACTGTATGCATGACTTGTTCTGTGCGGCCCGATGGGAGGACACTGTGGATAGTACTTTCATCAGGATACCAGAAGCCCCAACCCATGCCCCCACTTTGGAGGGCCTGTCAGAATGAAGAAGATAAGCCTTAAGACCATCCGCAAGTCCCTCAGCATAAAGGGCAAGGAGGAGGGTGACTTTGTCATGCTGCAGCAGCCCTCGGTGACTCCAGAATTTTCTAAGGACGAGTCACTTTTCGGGGGCTGCTACACCAAAGAGCTATCTGGGTGTGACCTTGGTAGTGAAGAGGACAAAGGCAGCCAGAATAAGAGCCGCTCCAAGAGCGAGAGCCTGATGGGATCGCTCAAGAGGAGACTGTCCACTAAGCAGAAGGCAAAAGTAAAAGGCAGCCCCTCTGCCATAGGCTCAGTGGACGATGACGACGCCTTCTCGTCCTCTTCTGTGCCGATCAGCTTCAATGAGGTGAAGGCCCAGAGACCCCTTAGATCCGCATCCCTACGTAGTCACCATTATAGCCCTTCGCCTTGGCCTCTGCGCTCCGTGAACTCTGATGAGGCGTGCATCAAGATGGAGGTAAAAGTTAAAGCCATGGTTCATTCTCCCAGCCCAAGTCCCAACTTACACAGTGTCCGTAAAGAATTTCATGATTTTCAAATGGAAGGGCTCTTTCAGGACCAAGCAGAATCCTTAAAGAATCTCCAACAGCCACAAAACGGGGAGCTGCATCTAGATATTGATGAAAATGACGTGCCTGTGGTGCTCGGGTTGACTCCCCAGGACTACATCCAGTACACAATGCCTTTAGATGAGGGAATGTACCCAGAAGGGTCCCACTCTTTCTGCCTGGATAGCTCCTCTCCTATGGAGGTGGGGACTGAAGCAGACAACGCGTCCCTCCACACGGACCAGGGACAGGAGGAACATGAACTGGTCTGTGGGGTGCCTCCGGATCTCTTCATGGAAACCTCGGTTAACGGTCTTCTCCTTGGTTCCGCTGCCGTGATGCTCCAAAGTTCTCGACTAGAGGTCCAACCTCCCCTCTCTCCCCTCCTGTCGCCCATGATCAGAAACGGACATATTCCAAGAACTTTTTCAGGGTTCAGCTCTTCGGACAGCCAGGTAGCCGAGAGGGTGAGACACCACCTCAACTTTGACCCGAATTCAGCCCCCGGGGTCAGTCGGGTGTACGACTCGGTGCAGACCAGCGGGCCCATGGTCGTCACCAGCCTGACGGAGGAGCTGAAGAAGCTGGCGAGGCAGGGCTGGTACTGGGGCCCCATCACACGCTGGGAGGCCGAGGAGAAGCTGATCAACTTGGCTGACGGCTCGTTCCTGGTCAGAGACAGCTCCGATGACCGGTACCTGCTGAGCCTGAGCTTCAGGTCACAGGGCAAAACCCTGCACACCCGCATCGAACACTCTAATGGACGTTTCAGCTTCTATGAGCAGCCTGACGTGGAGGGACACACGTCCATCGTGGACCTAATCGAACACTCCATCATAGACTCAGAGAACGGAGCTTTTTGCTATTCCAGGTCCCGCCTACCAGGTTCTGCAACCTACCCAGTCAGACTAACCAACCCAGTATCTCGGTTTATGCAAGTGCGCTCCCTGCAGTATCTCTGTCGCTTTGTCATCAGACAGTACACAAGGATAGACCTGATCCGGAAACTGCCCTTGCCTAACAAGATGAAAGATTATCTGCAAGAGAAGCACTACTGAGGAGACGGAGATCGGACAGTAGTAGAAATTTGCACTTTTGTGTTCAGTTGACAAATTTAAACAAGGTTTACAGACAACCACAGTTTTGAGACGATTGGTTCTGGTGGCTCTTGATTTTGTGTCACTGTTAAGTCCTCCATTCCATGGTGATGGTTTTTCTGTTTTAGCAAGTGCTACTTCCAGAAACATAAGCCAGCACATAATCTATTACAGAAGTATAGAATAGGGATTCAGCCAAGTTTTCTTAGCTGCCCTTGATTAAGTGTAGACATTAGTGTAGTGTAACATCCGGCTGTGCAAGTTGAGCAGGTTTTGAAAGAATTGCCATCTGCTTTGAAGTTGAGTCTGTAGGAAAAAAAATTCAAAGTAAATTTTCCTTTTTTTCCTCGAAATTGTACATTTGAAAATGACAAAGTATTGCTACAATGAAGTTTTAAGAATCACATGTTTTGTCAAATTTTCTGCAGCCGGACCTATTTTGATCATCTTTTGCCAGATGCAACATTGACCATCTTTTTCAGTATGCCCAATCTACAACTTGATAAACATAACGTTGCATACTATGCAATTTGTCAAATAGCATAGCTTGCTGAAAAAAACAGTGACTATGGTCACTATGATTTTCACCTTAATTATGTTTTTTTTTCCTTTCAAATTTCCAAATTGGATGCCGACCCTTCCTCGGGTATTCTGACTAGTTACAACTGACCTGCTACAGATCCAGTGGTTTCAGTGGGCTTTGCCTGGTGCATTCACAGACACGCTTCGCAATGAGATTAAACACAAACAACAGGCCCACAAATATGAACAGCATGCTGCTGCAAAAGATGACCAAAATGTGCCGGTCCGACGGGGCTTTAACGGTTTGGTAAGAAAAGTAACAAATAGTATGGCTGCATGTAGCCATTGTATAACGTGCAAGCCTGAAGGTACTGTTGATGCTGGATTTGTATGTGCTCAAATATTACTGTTAATCGTTAAATCTTTCTGCATTAGGAATGTCACAAAAAGTGCACAGCAGCTCAGGCCTAACAACTTTGTCACTATCTGTAATGCTTGTCTCTGCATGTAGTAACGCAGGCAATTAAGGACACTGTGGAGTATTTCTACACGAGGGAGGGAGTCATGGTGAAAGTGTTTAAGCGCAACGCTGAGCAAAAAGCTGTTTCAATGCACAATTCCGTTCACCTTGGGCCGCTTACAAAATAAATTCCCCTGTTAACCTACAACAACAAAAAAAACACAACCACTAGTCATTAGTGACGAGCTGCACCCGTGTGTGTGTGTGTGCGTGCGTGCGTGCGTGTGTGTGTGTGTGTGTGTGTGTGTGTGTGTGTGTGTGTGTGTGTGTGTGTGTGTGTGTGTGTGTGTGTGTGTGTGTGTGTGTGTGTGTGTGTGTGTGTGTGCGCGCGCGCCGGTCGAAGGGTTGAGGTAAAGCCAGTGTTGAGACCTCCTCGCCATCTTGGGAGAGATGCCAGGCGCCTCACCCCCCCTACAAAAAAAAATTTCAGATTCAAAATTTATGGTTCAAATTTAGCCATTGCTTTATTCACCCTGTCCCCCACGGAGCTGCACTACCACTCCGATTGTCTCCGCTTGGCTCTTGGTGCCAGAGTAAAGGGAAGAGCACACAGGACGCTACGCAAGTGCTTTACATGGATACTTTGACTGGGGATTGTCGTGTCACATTATGAGCTTCTTTTAAGACGTGTGTCTCTTTTCTTTCAAAGTATTTTGGAGGATGGTCTTTGGTATGTCGTTTTTAGCGTGTAGTTCTAGTTGGCTGGAGGTGTCGGCGTCTGAGGCGGTCGCAGCGGATCCAGCACAGCGGGAGTTAGGAACTTTTGAATGGTGTTGCATGTTTTAAAGACTCGGCATCTTAAAGCTGAAACCTTTTTTGAGTTGTATAGGAATGAAGGATTTAGGTTGCGCGTTTTGGCGGAGTAGAGGGACGCGTTTCTGTCACAAACATTGGCTGGACATTTTGTGTACAAGAGAATTTTTTTTTGTCTTTTTAGAATCCTGTGAGTTTAGTTTGTGACATTTGCCATCTGGGGGGGGGGCTGTACAAAAGGAATGTACGCTTGTTTGAGGTATCCATCTTATCTGCCTGCAGACCAGTTACAGAAAGCATGAGAATCGAAAGAACAACGTTGTCACATTTTTGCACTTGAATATGCTCTGTTGACGTGCTTAGATCCTCTTGTTCTCCTTCAGATGGCAGTTTTAAAAGGCGAGTTAAAGTCACACATTTGTCTATGTGTTCATATAACTGTATAGATTGAAAGAAGGTTGTTGTTTTTTTGTTTTGTCATACCTGTGGGAACTAAAGGGTAAGGCACCAGCATCACATCAAAGCCTCCGCTAATGCTCATGGGCTGTCGAGGATTCAGATCGTGGCAAGGACACGGATTCAAATGAGAAACGTCCTCCTTTTTTTTCTTTTTTCTTTTTGTGTGGGGCGTGAGTGCATTTGTTTCAGTTGAAATGTGAAAGTAAAATGTTAGTCTTTTTTAAATACAATGTCCTTTTTAATTGCATTTCCATTCTAATTTGCAATTTGTCACCTGATTTTGCCAAAGCAGAAACCAGCTTCATATGGTGTTGCTTTTCAATACCCATTTAGTTCATTAAGCATTATTGCCTTCAATGTTTGATTCTAGAAGTTGATGCTTGTTCAGACTGCCGAAGCATTTTGAATTAATAACAGCCGTTTAAGCACTTAACAAGCTTAGTCTTTTTTTGTGCATCTCCGTGAGTGAAGGTGATTGTTTACAACACAATGTTTCAAAATGCCCCCACCCCTTCTTCTTTCTTTTGTTTGCCCTCACATGAACATGTTGGTACAATTTTAAAAACTCGTATTTCATTGTAATGTGTTTTCACACATTTGTGCTGCTTACGGATATGATTGCCTTTTCTTGTATTTAACAACTGGGGGGGAAATAGAATGTCACCAACGTAAATGTTAACGTTTTGACTTATGTTTTCATCTTGGGAGAGCAGAGCGGTTTTAACAAACTGTAGTCAGTCAGGAACATTGGTAGCGATTAGTAAAACCCTTTGTAGAATTACCGGTTCACTCCAGTTTACATTGGTTGTCAACTTTCCAAAGTAGTTCTTTTTGTATTGTTTTTCCTTTTGGGGAGAAAAAATAATCAGTGATTTATTGCACACTTTGGATACAGTTCAAGAGTTTTTTGTATCTACCAATTATAAATTATAAATAAAAAAATAAAAAAAACTATATTCTAAAAGAAGCTTTCTCCACTTTGTTGTCATTTGAAGTGATTTAGTGAAAGCGTCGCTCTCATCGGACCTCCAATCACGGCAAAGTTTTGGAGACGCTGATGCACCCGACACGAAGCCCGATCGTGCTCGCAGTTGTGCTAATGGACGAAATCGTCAAGGTCTCAGTGATTTGCGGGGGGCTACAGATTGGCAGCTGGTTCCCAGAGCGCCGGTTGCCTAATTTACGGAGAGACAATCCAGGCGGTGTTTGAATACAACCAGGTGAAGAGAGGGGAGGGACACAGTCAGCCTCGCTTTAGCTTGGCTTAAAGTCGTCTCTGGAGAAAACACTGGTGAGTTCCTCCGTTTTTAGAGAAGAAGGGAAATGATGGGGGGGGGGTCAGGTTTGCATCTGCATGATGATGAGGGGGTCTGCTTTGTTAACTACTGTGTCTGACAGGCATCTCCAGGCATCTGAGGAGATACACAACTGTTTATTCTGCCGGGTGAAAGATGATTTATTCATGCCGCAGACTGGTGGTCATATGTTGCACGGAGATGCCTCAGTCATAAAAGGACTCACAAAAAGCACTTTTTGTGAATTTGCAGCTTTTCAAACTGTTGGTACTGAGAATTTAGGGGCCGGGGGGGGCCGGGGATTTTAGTTCGGTTGGAGAGTGCAAACTTGTCAAGACGTGGCACGACGTCCCAGCGGGTTTGAATTTGCAAACATTGTGATGTTCATCCGGCTCACTCCGTGGCCAGGATGTTGACTTCTTACCCGCAGTGTTTCTTGGGTCTTTTGACGGGAAGTTGTCAGGTGACAAGGTGTCAAATCTGCTGCGGTTTCTGCAAGCAATAAAATCCAGATAAAATCAAGTGTGTTATTCCCCCTCGGTTTAACTGGCCCAATAGGTGCTAAATAAGGTGATCATGGGAGTGGGCCGCTCTGCTATGGAACAAATATATCCAACCAAAAATTGTTGTCATTTAAATGATTGATTATAATAAAGTGTCTCAACCTGTATTAGTTTTTTTTTTGTTACTACACCTCTTTCTCAAATGTCTGGGGAGGTTTAAGTGCATTCGATTTTAAAAGCTTTTTTCTTTTTTTCTCGCTGAAAACAGCTTCCTTGCGAAGCAGAAACCCACTTTGTGGGACCAGCGACTACAAACCCAAACAGCCGAGTCGTGGGTCGGACGGCATAACAATGTGCTGAAAGCTCATTGCAGAGCTCCACAAAGCCTGAACGGAGCGGCATCATTTAGACACCAACTCGCTGTAGATTCATCACGACAAGCTGCCCTTGTTTGCATTCTCATTTGATTCCGTTATTGGGAAAGTATCGACTATAGCATTACGTCCTGGAGAGATCTGACCTTTTTGGGGGGGAAATCAACTCTGGACTGACAGCAGATTCCGATACCGTTTTTTTATTCGTGTTATGGTTTTTCCATTTGGATTATGCATCGTGCCTGTGCATCACAAGTACAAAAACAGGACTAGCCTTTGAGTTCATAATATCGACACAACAGTGGTCATTTGTGAGCAAATCTCTCGGTGTGGCTCTCAGTTTAAAACCGCTCACTCTGGAGAATCCATCCATCAAATGTCTCTCGTCCCAGACTGATGATCCATTCCCGCCATCTGCTGCGCCGCATGGTGCAGCCCATTTTTCACGTGCAAAACAGGGATGATGTTGACAGCTTGAATTAACCGGCAAACGTATATATCGCTTTAAATAGTCGCGCCAGGAGAACATGGGTGGGTCTAAGCTGGTAATGATGAAGCCAAGTTCACCTGCTGGCAGCAGATGTCTCTCAGCCCAGAGTGAAAGGTTCGGCTCTATTAACGCTTGTGATCTTGTGCCAGCGGTGCCCAACACCACGGAGACCCTCTCCTCCTCCATGCATCATGCATTAGGTGCCTCTGATCCACAATGAGGCCCATTTTAGTGAACGGACCGCCTTCATCATTAACAGGTCTCCACTGAGACAACCGCTCGTAGTGGGATTCATTGTGATCGCTCTTCACAGTTCCCCGAGTATCCGAGGAGTGCGTGTTTGCCCAATTCTGTGTCGGGCAGCCGCCACTTTGTGTGTCTCACATTGTTGGGCCGAATGCCTCCAGATCCCCCCCAAAAAAAACCACCTCTTCCGGAAGCAACGCGGCCCCCTCGCCGAACAGAGACTGGATTCAGCAAAGCAAGTGGCTCAAACTGTGAACACGCGGCTACAAGTCTCAGCCTCTCTCTCAGAAGAAACAAGTACTCCGGGGTTCTTGAGAAGTGAGCGTGCTTAATGACCAGCGAACGGGCCGTCCAGATGGCCTCAGCTCCAGGGTGTCGGCAAAGAAGTAGCTGGCCCGTTTTGATATTTGATTGATGAGCTGTCATGAAAATTCGTGAGGCTCAGTCGTGCCTGGCTTTTTTAAATTATTTATTTACTAATTGACAGGAGGAGGGAAACATGGATTACCTTCCTGAGCTACAAATAGGCTATGATTCAGAAAGACCGCATTATCAATGTGAACGGCATGGGCAAACACTTTCAGTGAGAACAAAAGGACTCTGTGTGTGCGTGTGTGTGTGCGTGTGCGTGCGTGCAATGTGCATAGCTTCCAGTACAGACTGCGGGCCAAGGGGAGTCGTAAGACTTTCATTATTATGTCATTAAAACAGTGACATCTGGAAGGTGGGGGCCATCCAGTAACACGGAGTATCCACTCTCATCCCCCAACAATCTGCCCCATCCGTCACCCGGGAGCCGTGTGTGTGAGAGTGTGTGTCGGGAGGGGTTGTGGTGAAAGGGGGGGTGCTGTGAACAGGTGGCGTCCATCAGGAAATGGATGGGAAATGTTTTGAATGGGGGAACTTGCATCAGTTCCTGGAGGAGTACCTGGGTGTCTGCCCTTCACCAGAGGTCCAGGAGGCACGGTGGAGACGGGCGAGATGAAACGAGAGCAGGTGGCGGTTTGTCGTTTAAACGAGGAATTGGAGTCCCCCCCCGTAGATCCGAGAAAAGCGCA